TAGCAGAAACTCAAATAGAAGGACGTGAAGTATTTAGATTTATCTACCCTGGAGGAACGAAACCATACGGCCCAAAGTTCATCGAGTTGTCCAGAGGATACGCAGAATTAAGACATTTGATTGGTTTTGAGAAGGAGGTTCCCGTTGTCACGTCAAGAGTGTCCAAACGAGGCAAGGTATTTTACAGAAGAATTAATTTACAAACAGAAGAACCATTTGGTCTTGAACTGAAATTGAACAAGCAGACTAAGCTTGAGAATGCAAAGCAACCTTTTCGACGGCATATTTTTAAGATAAAAACAGAAGGTTTGGGTGGTTTAAGAGCACTTGATATTCGAAGGTCGAAAAGTATTAAAGAAGCCAGCGAATTGGTAGTAAATTCCAGAATTGGTATTTCAAAACGTGATGCTACGAGAGAAATGAAGCATTACATTTTGTCGACTGACAGTTCAACTACGGTAGATGATCTTATGAATATTGAATTTCCAAATTTTAATACATTAAAACGAGATGAATTTCATGATGTTTTAGAAAGTTACAAAACGAATCCTGTCGACGAAACATATTTAACACAATATTTATCAACTCCAACTTATGCTGTGTTTGCTGTAGATTGGGTTAGGAATGGGCGTATTAGTCCAATGTATAATGAATATTATGTACGTGATGTAGAAACAATGGAGCATCTTTTGTTTAGCAATAGAAAAACTAAAAGTACGACTATGTCAAAAAACAAGATTGCAGAATTGTACGGACAGAAGTATTTCTATGAAATGAATGAACTTATTGAGAATGCAGTGAAGATGTACTTTCTGGAAATATCAAGAAAGGCCTACGATTTTCAAGACTATTATGCAGTTTTTGCTTGGAGGCACAGGAAATATGAGACTTTACTTGCAGATTCAGTAGAGACAAAGTACTTGCATAAATCATTATACAGATTGGCAGTGAGAGCTTCCACTGATGAATTTAAGCATAAAGTTTTATACCATTTTGATATAAAAGACCGCTTACCGATGGACACTGATCTATCACAGATGGTCGGAAAAATTGTAACCACTAAAAGTTTCGTCTTATCTGTAGGTGATGAATTGTCATTACTTGAAAGATTTTTTTATAATTCTAATAGGATAACTGTCAATAATATGCAGCAAATTTGTCTCTATAAATCAAGTATAGATACATCTTGTTTAACAGTAGATTTACATGATGTAATGCCAACGAGAAATCCATTTACTGTCATTCTTCCTGATATTCAGTTTGAAATAAGAAATGTCGAGACGAAAGTTATTTATGGTTATGATGTAGTGTTTCTTGAATTATTTAATTTACCTACTAAAAAAGAAATAATGATTGCTCGATGTATGGATAAAATCTACGGAAAATAAGTCATGAAAATATCTCTTGATAGAACATGAAGGGATAAGGACTATATTGTAAGGTTTGAAATCCAGCGGGAAAGTATCGTTTGAATTTTAAACTTTTACTCTACCGATAAATTGTGTAATCTTGGGAGTTGGGCGCCAAAAGGGATTTCGAGGCGTGGGGAGGATCGCCGGGTGGGGTTTTCTGCCGCGCGGAAACTAATAAAATCTTTTCCCATACGCGAATTTTCCTCACTTATCAAAATTCGGCAGAGTGTTTGTTTTGTCTCGCCACATCTTTGCGTGTCGCCGACAGCCCAAAGGTAAAAGTGCGATTTTAGCTATTTCATGTAATTCAATTCTTTTTTAATTTAACGGTTATAAAAAATATACTTTTATTATTTTAAATGAAATTTTAGAGTGGCGATTTTCTTTTATTAATGAATAAAATTCGTGACTGGCAATAAGTGAGGAATAGCGTGTGGGAGCTGGGAGTTCAATTTTGACCGTTGAAATTGCACCAACTTTGTCTCCTGATTTTGAGGCCATTGACGAAGGAGGTCGGTGATAATTTCTTGGACATCTCTTTTATTAATTTAAATTAATATCAACCTCTGGAGGTAATACGAACATCCTGAGAGGGCGGTTTAAAGGGAGTCCAGATTCCGCAATATCCCAGGCTTTTCAACCGACGCTTTCCTGCTTTCGTTCATCCCTGTTTAAAAAATTTGATAGAAATGGAAAAAAAAAAATTTCTTTCCATTTCAATCCTGTTTCTGAATCCAAAATTTTCAAAAATTACAATCAGTTTCTATCACATACTTTTAATAGAAAGTCTATCCAAATCAATACTTTGTCTATCCGAAAATTGTCCCATGTTGTCCCACTGATTTCAAAGAAAGTCCTATCAAATTCTATCAAAATTGATTATTAAAAATTGTTTCCAATCCAATAAGATTTTTTGATTTAAATTCTATCAAATCCTATATCGAAAAATGACAGAAAGTTCTTTCCTATTGTATCCAAGGTGGTTACAATTGAAAACATACGCTTTGAAAAAAAATATTTGTGGAAAAAATAATAAAAGATTCTTATGACCATTAATAAGATTATATTCTTAGCACACTCCAAACATACAAACATTTTAATTAAACTGGAAGAATTAAATTAAAATTTGTACCCTATGGGAATCGAACCCCGCACCTATGACCTATCTATCTAAACGCTTAACGACCGCGGCTACCGAATCGACGTGAGAAATATTTTTCGACCTGTCTATATAAACTGCAAATTTGAAAAACGTAAGTTTATGTAAAATATTATAATTTTTGTAAGTACCCATAAAAATACAAGCAGAAATTAAAATATTTATAGAGATTTGCAATATATGCTATTATGTTAAAAATATTAATTAAATATTTAATAAATTTTTGCTTAAATGTCATTTGACCGCTTTGTAATTTTTTGTAAATATTTGCAAAAAATAACATCAAACGAAATAAAAAAATAAAAAACACAGCTCAACTGTGTTAAAAAAATTTCGTTGATTTTCTAAAATGTTAAAACTTTTATGAAAATCTGTAGTTCTCAACAAAACAATAAAGGGGCGCATGATTATTCCCCAAATGTCATTTTTCCGAAATGTCATTTTATCGAACTGCACTTTTGCGAATAAGTACTTATTTTTGCGAAAAGCCAATTTTGCGAAATATCACTTTTGCGAATTGTCATTTTTTCGAAAAGCTATTTTTGCGAATTGTCATTTTTGCGAATCGTTATTTTTACGAATTGTCAATTTTCCGAAAAGTCATTTTTGCGAATCGCCATTTTTACGATTTGTCAATTTTCCGAAAAGTCATTTTTGCCAATTGTCATTTTTACGAAAAGACATTTTCGAGAAAAATCATTTTTGCGAATTGTCACTTTTGCGAATCGCCATTTTTACGAATTGTCAAATTTCCGAAAAGTCATTTTTGCGAAAATTCCTATAGTGAATCTATATATGCATACAAGCAGATTTACTATAGGAATTTTCGCAAAAATGACAATTCGCAAAAATGACTTTTCGGAAAATTGACAATTCGTAAAAATGGCGATTCGCAAAAATGACAATTCGCAAAAATAGCTTTTCGCAAAAATGACAATTTGCAAAAATGACAATTCGTAAAAATGACTTTTCGCAAAAATGACTATTCGCAAAAATGACAATTCATAATATTGGCGATTCGTAAAAATGGCGATTCGCAAAAGTGACAATTCGCAAAAATGGCAATTCGTAAAAATGACTTTTCGCAAAAATGACTATTCGCAAAAGTGCAGTTCGGTAAAATGACATTTGGGGAATAATCATAAAATTTGATAGAATTTGTATCCAAACCTTTTGATAGAGAAATAATGGATTTTCATGTGGAAAGAATTTGATAGATATTCAATCAAAACTCATGGATAGCAAATTATAAGAATTTCCGACTCATAGAATTTGATAGAATTTGTATCCAAATCTTGGATAGAGAAATATTAGATTTTCATTTGGAAAGAATTTGATAGATATTCAATCAAAACTCATGGATAGCAAACTATAAGAATTTCCGACTCATAGAATTTGATAGAATTCGTATCAAAATCTTGGATAGAGAAATATTAGATTTTCATTTGGAAAGAATTTGATACATATTCAATCAAAACTCATGGATAGAAAATTATAAGATTTTTCGACTCATAGAATTTGATAGAATTCGTATCCAAACTCTTGATAGTAAAATATTGAATTTTAGTATATTATTAACTTTGATAGATAATACATCAAAACTTATGATAGGAATGGATTTAATTTTCTACTTTGGATAGAAGTGGATTGGATTTTCAATATTTGATTAAATTGGATTCGAATTTCAAGGAGTGAAGGAAGAAAATTCTATCAAATCCTATCCATTTTAATAATTTTTTTAAACAGGGATGCAACATCACGCCGAATGATAAGTTTTATTTTTATTTCTGTTTTCCTTTTTTTTGTTTAAATTTCCTCACCTTGTTCTTATTTTAATCAACGATATCCCGATATTTTACCCTAGTGATTTTTGTTATCCTTATCGCTACCTATCTTAATAATTCATTCCCATCAATATCATATATCTTTATACATAGAATCCTGCTCCTATTGAATGCATTCTCTTGATTATTATTTATAACATTATAATTGTATTTATATTGTCGATTGTATTTTATGATTTGTGTATGTGTGAGTGTGAATAAGAGTTTCGGGACACGCGATTTATTTTGTAGCCAAATAATTGCTGAGTTATTATTAAAACGTTTGATCTTGTATTTAATTTTGTGTTCTAATTTCGTCTATTTTGACATGTCATTTTGAATTTATTATTATAATTGTTTTAATCTTTTTTGTTCGTTTGATTTCGTTAAAATTTCTGTATTATCATATTTTATTTTGTTACTTATATTTCAAGTCAAATCAATTCGTTACAAACATTGTTTGAAGAGGTATTAAATAGTGAATAAAATGATGATAATTGTTGACTCTATTATTTGAACTAATGTTTATAAATAATTATATTTAAAAATACAAAGCCTGAAATAAAATATTTCAAAGAAAAGGTAGGATAACACAAAAGACATTTTTTTAACAATATGTATTCTTAAAGCAGTTTTGCTAACTTAATAAACATTTTTTAATTTCTTAACGACTAAATAAAAAATTGTACAACTTATGGACAAATTTTCGTTTTGTCATTATCTTAATATCAGTAACGTACATTGAATTCGAATCTGTACTAATTGAGTCTCAATCTTTTGATGGAGATAATGAAAATTATGATAACTTTAAGATGATTTGTTGTGCAACTTTTCGATACAAACACTCAGTTGTTGAAGTCTGTGTAAAAGGTGACGCATATTAGAACTTGATTGACGAAATCCAGACTTGTCGCCACCAAAATCTTGTCTTTGTCCCAGTTCAAAGTGGAGTTTCGCTAATCGTTCTTGTTGCTCTCGTATTTCTATCATTTGCTCCATACTACAGTCCTTTCCTGAAGAAGCATTGGCTTTCAGTTGGACAAATTTAATTTTAACATCCAAGGTAAATAGTAATCATATGGATGGATAATATCCATTGGATATATAATATTAATATATTATTAATATATTGGTTTCATATAAGATTAGTTAAAGTGGACATATTCCAACATGTTCTTGTTATGTACAACAGATTATATTTAAAGAAATTCATTTATATTTTTCTTATTACATAAATTTGAATAATTTGAAAAGAAGAGTGCTTACCGAAGGCTCGTAGATTTCCACTGTGAAAATCTTCAAGAAGCTGCAGCAGGGCTTGTTCCATGCGTCTCACATCGGGTACCTCTGACAAAAAGCAATGGTGCTTGCAAGGAACCTTGGCTTTACAAGACAACACCAATGCGAAAACAAGTACTACTTAACAGAAACTCAAAGAAATAAAAACTTTCTAAAAATAAACTATAATAAAGCTTAAGGTATTTTAGAATAAAATAGTTTAGGGTATTTTATTCTAGAGAATGACATTTTCAAGATAGTCTTACTGTGTTATAGTATAACAAATGGAAATACTTTGCATAGTGTGCATTGACTTTCCATTGAAACTGTCACATGAAATCAACTTAAAAGTAAGAATTATATATGTACTTTTCCACACAGATCAATATTTTACTTTATCAGTATATGATCTTGTTTGAATATGACTAATGACTGATCAATGCATCATAAAAAATTAGTATATTAAAACTTGATTCGTTTGTAATATTTTAGAATATAATAATGTGGATCAGTACATCATAATTGTAGCAGTTGACAAAAAGTAGAAAACACTTAATACGTGCAGTAATAATAGTTGAAAAAGCGTATAACCATTATCTACTTGACAAGACTAAGTTACCTTTCTGCTGTTTACCTATTCTTGGAATCTCGGGTCGAGCTACTTTCGGTTTTTCTTTCTCATTTAGATAAATTAGTCGAGATTGACTAATCGTGTGAGTTGAAGAATTAACAGCCCTACCGGAGGCCATTGAACCTTGACTAGTAGTTGCTTGTCCCGAACTTGCTTTGCTAATTACTGGCGATGTCTGCATATTATTTTCCCAAAGAGTTTGCTGCTGCAAATGAATAGTAAGAGTATAATTTAATATAATATAATTAATATAATCCCATTTAATATAATAAATTATGTTATATCAAGTAGAATCTGTCAAAAAAATGGTAATTTCGAACATCTATTTATGACTTTAAGGTATTTTCAATTGTATAACTTTAAACTAAACTGTGATCGTGAATATAAAAATTTTTATATCTTATTCATTGACCAAAACTGGTTCCATTTATTTTGTTAAAGCACCGACGTTTCGGCCTCTGATCAAGAGTCATCAGCGATACTTCTTTTTTTTCTAATCAAATCAAATGAACTAAAATGTGAGTTTTTAACAGAACTTTCTTGTTGCAAAAACGAAAAGATGCCCACAAGCATACCTCTTCTCTTACTATTATAGGAAAAGTGAAAAATTAAAACTTACTGAAATTGAAGAATTTTGTGTATCATTTTTATTTCGTCGGTTTGCTGATCTGGCAGGAGTTGAAGGAGGTGTTACTTCTCCACCTTGACTTGATCTTTCCTCACCGTCCTCTTCCTGTACTAATTGTTGCAATTCACAGCCAGACTCTTCATTCATTTTTAATCTATTACAGAAAAAATACTTTCATTCACTCAAGAGATTATAACTGTTATTATTACAAAACATAAAATCGATCACTCCGAGTCTTCGATTTCTTCATGTTTTACAATAATTAAAAATGTCAGAGTGATAAAATTATTATTTTATATTATAAAAATATTGATACTTTAACTTCTTCAAAATTATTTTCATCATTTCAATTAAATTACTATTTTCCAGAATTTTTAACTAAAATTCTTCTTTAAACCAATTATTATTTTTAATAATTTTTGAAAAAGTTATTTTTGAGAATTTTCAAATCCATTTTTTTACATTCAATTTTACCATAAAATTTCGATTATTTGGAAATTCTTCAATTAAATATAAATTAGAAAATAAAAATTTTAAATAATTGAAAGAAAATTCAATTAATCTTTTTCAAAACAATGAATTCTATAGAATTGTTAGTTAGAAGTATGAAAAATTCAGATTTTTAAAGATTTTAATTTGAACAGTTTTTTCATTATCTAAAATTTTAACTGAAATTCATTTTTAAATAAACTTTCATTTGAACATTATACGAGAATTCAATTATTTAAATACAAAAATAAATAATTTAGTGAATAATTTCATATTTCTTAAAATTGAATTCTTATAAAGAACTTTAGCAAAATTTTTTTAAATAAATTAATTCTTGCGAAGAATTTTAATAAAATTTTTGTTTTTTTTTTATTTTTTAGAGAAATTCGATTAAAATTGTATTAAAAATAATTGAATCTCTGTATAAAATTTTATTATTTGTGAAAATAATTTATGAATAAATTGTATTATAATAATAATAATTGAAATTCTGCAATGAGTTTTATTATTAATGAAAATAATTGAATTGCTAAAAAGAATTTTATTATTTATAAAAATAATTGAATTATTACAAAGAAATTAGTTTAAAAAATCGGTAAATAATTGAATTCCTATGAAATTTGTATTATTTATGAAAATAATTAAATTTTTGCGTACAATTTTATTAAAATTTTTGAAAATAATTGACTTTTGGAGAAGAATTTTATTATTTATGAAGATAATTCAAATTTGACGAGGATTTAAAAAAAATTTTTATTATAATTGAATTTCTGCGAAGACTTTTATCAACTTTTATTACTTTTAAAAATAGTTGAATTTCTGCAAACATTTTTGTAATTTCTCTAAAATTCAACTTTTTTTTAGAGTTTTCAACTAAAATTCTTCTATAAATCCATTATTTATAATAATTAATTAAATATATATTAAAAATTTAACTAATTTCAGAAGAATTTGAATAATTAAAATTTTTCTAAAATCTAAGTTCTTTAAAATTTCTTTTGAATTTAGTTGAGTTCACTCAAATTTGAAATTTTATAAAATTTCAAATTAAAACCTCTTCAAGTGTATTTATTTATGAAAATTGTAAACGCAACTCTTAAAATTCAATTTTTTTGAAATATTTAAGTAAAATTATTCTTTAAATAATTTATAAGTAATAATTTTAAAATAATTCTTCCAGAAATAGAAAAAATTGAAGCTTTTGTTAATACAAAACCTTCAATTTTTTTTTGAATTCGTAATAAAAATAAAATAAAAAATGTAATTTTTTCCAGTAAAAATCTCTGAATTTTCCTTGATTAATTCTAGTTTCCCTATTTTCCTCAAAAAATAATTTTGAAAATATGCTTATTTGTTTAAAACAAAAGACAATATCTTTAAAAATTGCATAGAGGCGACAATAACAAACAAATTTTGAAGATATGTAAATTGTATGAATAATAATAATAATAAAAAATATTTTAATTATAGAAAGTGAATTTATCATTCGGCAGTTAAATATTAAGAAGAAAGAAGCTATCAATTATCCGAATCAAATTTTTACTAAATAAATTAAATATCTTAAATAAATCTCTATAAGCTCTTAGATTTCATATGTATCGACAGCACAGCTGCTCGAATACAGAAACCTGCTTAATCTGAAAAATATTTTCGAAATTAATTAATAATTTCAAAATTATCAAAGAATCCAGAAAAAACGGTAGCATGGTGGGATACGAGCCCACGACCTTTCTTATAGAGCTTATAGAGATTTATTTAAGATATTTAATTTATTTAGTAAAAATTTGATTCGGATAATTGATAGCTTCTTTCTTCTTAAAAAATATTTTAATTGTCAATGTGTTTCTATAACTTTTTTCTTTTGCATAATTCTTCAAAAATGTTTTGGGACAGTAATTTTATGATACTAAGAAGCAAATTAAGTGAAAAAAATAAAAATTGGTTTACTTAAAATCCTTGATAAAATCAAAAACTAATAATATTAAAAAATATATATAATAAATTCGTTAATGTTTGGAGACCTGATGCTTTTTTAACAATTAATATAAATGGATTTCTATTTTTTTATTTTTAGTCTTAAAATGACAACTTCTCTACTAAATAAATTAATATTTAAAATCTCGGTCTAAAGAATAGTATTATTAGGGATTTCTTATGAAAATAACTGTAATTAGTATCTTATTAGAAACAGTAGCTAAATACTTGCATGACGTGAGAAAAGTGTAAAAAAGTATCAAGTCACGTGAGTCCGAGGTCTGTAATTTTTATTGACATATAGATGTTTAAAAATTCATTGAAATTTCCCCATTGATTAGTGTAATATTAAACTATTGTTTTTTTCATCGCATTCTCAGCATGTAAAATTACAAAAGTTTTTTACAGTGTAATGAAACTATATTATTAACATTTTGACATATATACAAAATCTCTCTCTATATACAAAATCGTCAAAATCTCTACTTTGTCAGCAAAATTTCATAATACTGAATTAGGTAAAATTAAACCAAATCCTGTAAAAATATCATTTAAAAGCTTTTTCTTTACACACTCAGTTTGTAAATTGACAATAACCTTTTGACAGTAAAATGTTTATATAACCTCTTAAATTTTGAAGTTTGTTCAATTTTCAATAAATCTTGTGCGAAAGTTGAAGAGAACTGAATAATTTGAAACATTCATATTGAAAGCAAATAATATTAATTACCTTTTCCTTTATACTTGCACAAATGAAAATGTTTAACTTTTCTTATTTTGAATATCTGTTGACATTCTGTCACTTTCTGTTCACACCCTTTTAAACAATAATAAAATGTCTACGGATATGTTCACAATGGCTGTTGTTCCATAATTAGGCTGTTTCACTAGATCGAGATATTTCGAGTTCGAGTATGACGTCAGAAAGTTGGAGAAGAAAGAAACCGTTTTGCGTTGCGTTTTGTAACCAAACCATAGTAATAATGTGTAAGCACCTTTAAAGTCTTAAACTCCGGTCAATAATAGGTTATTGTAAATTCAACCTTTATATATTTCATTTCCATGAAAGTTGGCGGCGAAATTTCATCTTGTGAATAGGTCTTAAATCGGATAACAAGTTCTTTTCAGGTGTAGAGAAACTTGCGTATGGTATGTTGATTTTTATAGTTTTACAAATCCATTAACATCTTCGAAAATAATTGTCTATTATGCTAAATTTTTAGTAAAAAATTGAAAGTATTTGTACCTGGAAATTTATTCACAAAAATTTTTATTCAATAAACTGTTAAAACATGCTTTATTTTTATTGTTGTTTTGAGGTTACGTCGCGAGTTTATTTTAAATGTCACTTGCATTAGAGGCGAATTTGTTTAAATTTATTTATTATTTTTTTACGTAAACTTTTAATTAGTAGTTTATTTACAAAGCCAAAAGTACTAATTATACATTTTTTCTTATTTTATTTATTCTTTATTGTTTCAAGTTCTTGTTTGGGTAGTGTTTGTTAGTGTTGAAATTTTGTTAGAACAATGTAACCATGTTAGATTTTACTTGAATTTTTTTCAAATTTACACTATTTTTTAATTAAATTCTGTATTTAATTTTGTGTCAAAAAATGTAGGACTAGTTTTTAAATTATTGCAATATACATTGTTCATTCAATGAAATTTTTTTCACTCTTACATTGAACTTTTTCATTTGTAAAAATATCTAGAAATTCATATTTAAATAAGCACATTTTTTCTTTGAAAGCATAACTCTTACATATTTCCGTAATTTTTTGAATTTTAACGTAAACAAAATATTTATTATGTCGTTCTTTGAAAGTGGCAAATTTGCAGCAAAGTTCTAAGTGCTGAAATTGTTTCTTATATTCTAAACCTTTAACTTTATTCGTAGTTAAGAATTTAAAATATCATTTCTTTTATCTAATTTATTTTCAACTCGTAAAAACGAAAATAAGTTTTTTTTTATTGGATGTTTTGATTCTTTTGCAATTTCCAAAATATTTTTTTATCATATATCATGTATAATTTTTCTTTATTTGAGGAGCAAGTTTTCAAAAGTTGATAAATTCATTTTAAAAAAAAATCGAGATAAATTTAATAATTTAAAGATCTCACAAATCGTCCTGTCACTGTTAAATTTAGAAATTAAAAAAATTTATTAACAACGAATTTTCTATTTAAAAACTTTTGACATAACCATGATGACCTGTAATTTTTATGTTTTTTATTAGAAAACATTACCAAAACCTTTAAATCACTTAATTATGTAAGTTTAATTAAAAACAACGTTTTAAATATAAAAACATTGTTATAATTATTAAATATTACAAATTTTGTATTTTAAAATTAACTGTAGTGGTTATGTGAAAAAAGTCATTTGTTTCAATTTCTCGAAATAAGAAATTATGGATATATATGGATAAATTTTGTAAGCTTGCTCCTCATTTATAATTTCTTGAATATATGAGTTTAATTTATTATTTTAGAAGAAAATTGATGTAAAATGTGATTTGTTTTTAGTAATTCATCAAAATGGTGAAAATAATGAAATCTGGGAAGGTGGTGCTCGTCCTGAGCGGGAGATACGCAGGACGAAAAGCCATCGTCATGAGGAATTTTGATGAAGGAACATCGGAGAAACAGTACGGTCACGCCATGGTGGCTGGTATTGACCGATATCCAAGAAAAGTACACAAACGTATGGGCAAAGGCAAACTTCATAAACGCTCCAAGATAAAGCCTTTCGTTAAGGTAAATATCACAATTTATTGCAGATATTTTGCGAGTACAACTCTTTCAAATTCCTCAAATTACTGGCTATTTACATTTTTCCTTCTTTTCATAACTTTTCTTCCCTTTTTCCAAAATTTATTTATTTTCAAAAAGAATATATCAGGGTTGCCACAAAAAATTTAATTTTATCTTTCCCTGATTTCCAGACAGAATTTTGACCTTTTCATTGACCCTGAAAAATATTCTCATATCCATTTGTTTATTATTTTTAAAAATATTCCTCTAAATCAATTATTTTTAATAATAATTAAATATATATTAAAAAATTCAATTAATTTCAAAAGAATTCGAATTAAAATTGTCCAAAAAAATTAATTTCCCGGAATTGTTAATGAAAAGTATTAAAAATTCAGATTTTCAAAGATTTTAATTTTAAACCTTTTCAAAATTCAATTCTTTTTAGAGTTTTTAACTTAAATTCTTCTCTAAATCAATTATTTTTAATAATTAAATATATATTAAAAAATTCAATTAATTTCAAAAGAATTGGAATTAAAATTTTCCAAGAAATTAATTTCGACAGTTAATGAAAAGTATTACAAATTCAGATTTTCAAAGATTTTAAATTTAAACCTATTTAAAATCTAATTATTTTTTAGAGTTTTCAAATTAAATTCTTTAAACGAATTATTTTTAATTCATCTACATTAAAAAGAACTTGAATTGAAATTTTTTATAAAATTAAATTTATTCAAAAGTCAAATTTTCTAAAATTTAAAATTAAAACCCTTTGAAATTGAATTATTTATAAAAATTGTAAACGCAACTCTTATAAAATTTAATTATTTTAAAAATTTTTAAGTAAAATGTTATGTCAATCAAAAAAGTCACAAACATTCAAGTCTGTTATGAATTCTCTAAATATTAAATTTTTTCCAGTACTTTAAACAAAATGACTTTTCCCTGATTTTCCTGATCTGTGGCAACCCTGTATATCTTTTTTAAATTTTGAACGAAATATTGTCTTAAATAATTTTGTGACAACATTGATCAAAGCTCAGAAATTACAATTTTTATAGTAGAAAGAATAACTATATAATCACTATAAAATAGACTTTTGTTTTCAATGTAAAAATAAATTGTTAAATTATAACAACTGGATTTAATTTCGAATAAATTTTGGGTAATAAATCTTTCTTATTTTAATACTGAAAAACGGGTTTGATAAGAAAATTTTTAAAGGATTTTCTTATCTTATAGTTTGTTCTAATTTGACTTATTTTTACTGTGTTAATTAAGTAAAATTATTACTAATTAAAACAAATTTTAAATGTTTGGTTTTAAATATTTTTCAAAATTTAGTTTTGAGGTAGATTTTTGTTTTTACATTTTTATGAATTTTGACAATAACAAAGTTGCCGCAGGTCAGGAAAATCTGACAAATTAGAAAATTTTATCCAAAGTAGTGGAAATATAGCAAATTTTTAGAAATGCTACAAAAATTCTGGTTTCTCGTGTCCTTAGAAAATATTCAAAACCTTAAATTATCCTTGAATTATCTTTTTCATTTTAAAAATTGAAAAAAGATACTTAAAGAGTTACAGTTTGCAATTTTTGTGAAAAAATTTAATTCTTGTATTTGAATTATTGAATTCTCGAATTACTTTTTAAAAATTATTAAAAAAAATAATTGATTTAGAGAAGAATTTTAGTTGAAAATTTCAAAACAATCGGAGCTCTGTTTTGTACAAATTTTCATTTTATGTATTTTCACTTAACTAAATTTTATGTAACAAAATATGCGAAAAAATGATTTTTCAAAATAATTTATTTAAAAACTTAATTATAGATTGAATTAATTTCAAATGTAACCCCATTTAGATTTCAATTTATCAAATCTTAATTCCTTTAAATTTCCATTAATAGAAGTATTAATATGCACTAATTTTGAGGCATATGATTATTTTTATTTCTACGAAATATTATTTAACAGAAATTCAATTTGAGTAATTTTTTATATTACATAACTTTCACTTATCAAGAATTTAATTGGACAAAATTTCTATTTAATACAATTTTTATTTGTCAGTATGCTGGAAATGTTATTGAATAGAATTTCTGTGGTCAAATTGTCATATAGGCAAATTTTCACCTTAATTACCGACATCTCAAACTTACAATAGTTTATTTAACCTTAAGACCAGAACTTTAAAGTTTATTAAATTTACTTAAAAACTCAGATATTCTGTTATTTCCTTCGTGTTATAAAATTGAATTAATTTTACCAAGTACAAACTTCTTTTACAGATTTTAAATTATAATCACTTGATGCCCACTCGATACACTGTGGATTTGCAGCTCGATAAAGTTGCACCCAAAGATTTGAAAGATCCAATGAAGAGGAAGAAGGTGCGATTCCAAACTCGAGTAAAATTTGAAGAAAGGTTTGTTTCACTTTTGACATCAATTTTAATTTATTTTGCTTAAGGGGATATCATAATAAATGCGATTTCTTCTTTGAAGTTCTATGTAAAAATCGCATCTACTTCGTTATCCTTTTAAGGCTCATTCATATTTCAATTTTTATATACTATTCTTTTTTTTCAATTTCATACATTGTCTTTTAACATCTTTTTATTAAAGTACAAAACAAAATTTCTCAGTTAAAGATAATTATTTAAATTTACTTTTCTTTTTGTTATAGGTACAAATCCGGAAAGAACAAGTGGTTTTTCCAAAAATTGAGGTTCTAATTTGTAACAAAATAAACAATTTTATCGAGTTATCGCAAACAATCTCTATTATTAATTCTCCTTTTTTATAAAATTGTGTTTATTAAAAAAAATGGCCACAATCAAATTGAATAGCTTTTTATTTCATCATAGATATAGTATAATTTTTACTGTTTACAAAGTTTTTCTTCTTCTTTCGAACAATATTATTTTATTACTGATGAGACATCAAATTGAAGTATACTAAAATTAAATATGCATTAAAAGTCTCTTACTATCTTTTTCTTAAGAAATAATAAATGAATAAATTTTTATAAAGTGATTTTTATTTAAGAAAATTTACTTACTTGATATTAGAGTAGGCACTTTAGTCTTGGTGAATCAAAAACTAAAAAGGATAAGTTTTTCTATTTTTATTTTAATTATTATATTTCAAGGGAAGTGTATATATAAATATTAATAAATAAAGTAATTCAAAATAATGAAACGAAGAAAGCAAGAATAATATTTGTCATCTTTTTTGTAGTTTAAGAAACACACCTTAAAAAATTAATTGTTTAATAGCACTTAGAGGGACTTTTTTATTTTTATAGTAAATAATACTACTAAACTACTCGTGAAATCTTTCTGCAAGATTTGGATCAAAATTTCTAAGTTAATTGTTTAAAAACAAATATTAACACTTTACCAAACATTTTTTTACAGTGAAACTATTTTTTTGAAAAATATGATAAAAATACTACAAAAAACATAATTGAATAATTTTTTCATAGGTCAATAGAAATTTTTAAAATCTCTTGTTTCGATAGAAATTAATTAACAATATTTGGCACATTTCATCTACACTATTAGTACAACGTTACTAAAAAGTTTCAATAAATTTGGTGAAGAAAAGTCCAAAACAGTCCAAAGACAATTTTAATAAAATTTTTCGAAAGAATACAATTATTTTTAAAAATATTAATTAAATTCGATTATTTTCAAGAATTTTAATATAAATTCAATTATTTTCGAGAATAATGATGAAATTCTTTTTAAAACAAAAAATTATTTTCAAAAATTGAGATAAAACTCTTCAAAACAATTCAACTATTTTGATGAATTGTAAAATTCTCCACAAGAATTGAATTATTTTCATAAATAAGAAAATTCTTCACAAGAATTAAAATATTTTCATATAAATATTAAAAGTCTTCAAAGTAATTCAATTATTTTTATAAATAATAAAGTGTTTCGGAGGAATTCAATTATTTTCAACAATTCTGATAAAATTCTTCGAAACAATTGAATTATTTTTATAAATTATAAAATTCTTGTCAAGAATTCAATTATTTTTGTTAACAATAAAATTCTTTTTAATACAATTTTAATAAAATTTTTCTAAACAATTCAATTGTTCACAACAGTTTTTAATAAAATTCTTTGTAAATTTCAATTACACGGAGAAAAAAAACTCTAATAAAATTGTTTAAAAGAATTTAATTTTCTATAATTAATTTTAATATAATTTAATAGAAAAATTATTAATTACAATTAATAATCTAATAATAAATTTTGATAACTTGAGAAAATTTTCATAAAATTTAATTATTACGTTCAAAATTTTTAGTAAAAATTATTAAAAAAAACTCCATTATTTTCAAGAAAATTAAAATAAATTCTTTAAAAGAATTAAATTATATTTTAAAGAATATTAATAAAAATCTTGCCAAGAATTTAATTTTTCTTGAATACAATTTTAATTACATTTTCTCGAAAGAATTTAATTATTGAAAAAAATATTGATAAAATTCTTGAAATGAAAATTCAATTATTTGCAAATTTTGCAAGAATTCATTGATTTTCAGTTCATTTTTTAGTGTTTTTAGCCTAAAAACAAAAATTTTTTTTCAAAAAAATGCTTCTAAAATTATGAAAATCAATTTTTTCATTTGGCAATTTTTTTTATGGATTCAAAAACATTATCTACAAAATTACGCATGGATTTCAGAATCCACCAATATTTGAATTAGAATTCTACGAAAAAACATTTCAATATTCTGATGACTAAAGTTCTATCAAATAAAACTTCTAACAATTTTTTCAGGGTGGCCACTAAAAGTTAGAAAAAAAATTCCAGGCGAATTCCCGGTTTTCCAGGCTAATATATATTTTTTCCCGGTTAGTTACACAGGCCTGCAAAATTAGTTTCTTATGTTGTTTTGTCTACTAAACACGATCCCGGTCCTAAAATTGCCCTTCATTTCAGGATATTGAGAAAAGTAAGGGTAAAGAGACCAAAAAAGTTTTTTTTAGGGTTTACAACATTTTTTTTCTCTTTAAACTGGCGTGCTAGAGATTTCGACAAGGTTTTAAATTAAAGCTTAAAACGTGAATTTTAAGAATCAATGCAAAACACAAAAAAAGCAAGGATTTTGGAAAAAGTAGGGTTACAGACTCCAAATAAATTTTTTTCGTTATTTTTGATATCGGAATTGTTTCTAATGTAGTTTTGTCCACTGAACAAGATCCTGGATCCTAAAATTGACCATCACGTCAGGATTTTAAGAAAAGTGGGGTAAAGACTCCAAAAACGTGTTTTGAGGGTTTTCAGTATTTTTTTCTCTTTAACCTGACGCGCTAGAAATCTCTACATGCAGGGTAAACGCGCCAATTATTGCGATTTCTCCAATTACTGGGATTTTTGGGAAAATACTATTATTTACTATTATAGAATAATATAATATTTGAATAAGTTTGAAAAAATTATTTTCGACCTTAATTTCGACCTTAATAAAATTCTTTCGTAAAAAGTAAGTGGTGTCCCTGAAGAGGGCCGTTTATTCACAATCATCCATTCTTTTAATGCCATACCCGACTATCAAGTTTTAGGACAATTGGATCTATTTTCAAAAAAGTCGTCTGTTTTATTGGGCACATTTTGAAGTTTGAAAATCTAACATTGGATTCGTAATTTTTGTCGTGGGTCTTGTAGTGTAGGATTTAAGCTTTAAGGAAAATCCCTCATAAGAAGTGTGCAAAATATGTCAAAATTCAAATTTTTTTTCTCGCTTATTTTATTATAAAAGTTAAAAAGCCTTTTTGCATAATAAAAAGTATAATTTAAAGTATTAAAAACAATAAAAAAAAATTATATTTTTTATATTATGTTAGGCTGTAGAGGGCGTCAAAATCGATGCTTTTATTTTGAGGCGTTCCGCGGTTGCAGGTCTAGGGCCGTTCCTAGTGGTCTAAAATAAAAACCCAAAAGAACTTTTACAGTTGAGATACTAATCTAGTGGTTATAACAAAATTTACCTTAAAAAATCAAAATTAAAAAAAATGACACTACTTTTAACAAAAAAATTGAAAAATTACCTTTTTTTCTCCACAATTTTTTATTAAAAAAAGTATTAAAAAATTTTCTTTTTCAAATTCTTTAGGTATACCCACTAAAGAATATATTTTTTAACAATATGCAAAAAAAATTAGAAAGAAACATTCATCCGTTTACTCAGAATCCCTGCAAACGATTTAAAAAACAGCGTTTTGAGAAAAACGCAGTTAAAATTTAAGTACGATTTTTTCAGATTTATTGTTAACTAGCTGTCGTACCCGTCTTCGACGGGTTTTAGTTTCTACCAATACATTTAAGTTTCTACCAATCTGGAAAATCAGGAAATAGCTAGGGAATTTAATTTGACCGGAAAAAAATAATAATTAGTTACCATTATAGCTATTTTAGTAGGAAAATATTACTATTTGAATCAGTGTTTGAATTTTTGTTATCAAATTAGTTATTTTAACCAATTCAAATGCAGAGAAGAATATTTATCAATTTGTAGTACTTTAATTAATGTATTAAAAAAATTAAATTTTCCATACAGTTTTTGGAGTTATAGTAGAGTCTAATTGGAACTAATTGTATCGCAAGTAGACCCTACGTTACGACTGCTAAAACCTAACATAAGACCTAAATTTTAGGCTGAAAGTAGGGCTTAAATTTTGACTCGGGTCTGTTTTCATAAATATTATACATCAATAAAAATTGAAGTAAAAAGCAATTTTTTAAAAGCGAATTAATATAATGAAACTTTTTCTTAATTTGATAGGAAAATTCCCGGTTCGGCATATTCCCAGCTTTTTACAGTTTTTCCCGTTTGGTAGATACCCAGTTAAATGTATTAGTATAAACAGAAAACTGTACGACAGCAAGTAATACAATCTATATTTATATGAACTTAAGAAACAGTATTTTCATAAAATAAGTAAATTTTTATAGCCATTTGTAGATTTATTTATGGATAAAATCAAGTAAATTTAAATTTGACAAAAAAGAGATAAACCGTGAAAAGTTTGGACAAAGCAGGGAATTTTGTTAAACAAAAATAGACACCGTGTTAACTTTTGTCTTTACATTGCTCAAAACATCTCTTAAAGTTAAATCTAGAGTTAAAATGAAAAAACGTTTTAACATGTAAGTTTTTGCCTAGTGGCATAATATGCTTGTATTGTATCACAGGTGACTTACAATTCTTGACATCCTGCGAAATCATTTTAATCATAAAAACTTTCCATTTTCAATATTTCTGAACTTCTTGAAAATATTAGATTGATTTGATAAATAATTTTGAATTGCACTATTTTGACATCAAAATATTAATCAGAGACTCCAAAAATACTACTGAATTATACTTCATATAGTAATTAGTATCGATTTTTTGATATATTGAAAATTTTTTTATATTTCTTGTAGGATAGTATTTTTTGCAAAATTATGATAAAATCTGACTAAATAACATATAATATTCATTTTTAGAAAGTTTAAAAGCTATCCATTAAAAATTGTGAAATTTGGAAATTTTCCATTTTTCAAGTTTTTGAAAATATTTTTATATTTACATCTTAGTTGTAGAATAGTATTTTTTGAAAAATTATGCTAAAATGTGACCAAATAACATGTAATACTCAAATATAGAAAGTTTAAAAGCAATCCATAAAAAAATGTAAAATTTTGAAATTTTCGATTTTTTGAAAACATTTTTATACTTACATATTAGTTATAGGACTTTATTTTTTGCAAAGTTATGCTATAATGTGACTAAATAACATATAATACTCAAGTATATAAACTTCAAAAGCAATCCATGAAAAATAAAAAATTTTGAAATTTTCGATTTTTTGAATTTTTTGAAAAAATTGAATATCTCCCGTTCTAATTAATATTTTTTAAATCTGTAAATTTATAAACCTTCCTTGGGACAATACCTAATAACCTACCAAGTTGGACTTAAATCGATTCACATGTTTTTGTGTGATTGGGGTACAAAGTTTTTGTGACAGACAAACATACATACATACATACATACATACATACATACATACATTAAATTTTTTAAGAACATTTTTGGAATCTCTGATGTCCATAATAACTAATCATGTTAACATTTTGAAGTTTTAAGCAATGTACAGACAGACATCTGATTTTATTAATAAGGATTGGTTTTTATAAGAGCTTACCAAATTTTAATTTGCTATCCTAGGTCAATAAAGTAAGTTATAAGCTTCCTGATAAGCCTTTTCATGTTCGTCGCGAGCCTTTTTATTATCAAAAACCATACAAAATTGAGTAATTCAATGTATTTGTCAAAAAACATGAACTGATATTTATAATGATATCTCGCGAACCGAATAAGATTTTTTAACGTTTTTGGTCTTAAATTAAAGATAAGACTTAAAGGATCACATCTATATAAGTTTTAAATTTTGTCTACAATTTTCAAAAAATATGTCAGAGTTTAAAAAATTGTCAAAAAAACTTTAATTTTTTAATTTTCTTTTTCAAATTTATCGATTGTTAAAATCTTTGTGTAATTTCTTAAAATTTCGAATTTTATATTATTTAACATTGAATATTATAAGCTTTCTAACGGCAGATTTCTCAAGTTTCTTACATTATTTTTTTCAGGAATATCATGATTTAAAGATTGGTATGTTTTTGGGCCATGCGCGTGGAGCCACTCTGACGGTAGTGTGATTTACTATAACTTTTGATAGGAGCTAAATTTCGTCATAAAATTTAAAACCTTTATTCTAGAGATATTAAGGATTTTAAAAAAGCAAGAAAAAAAAATTCGAAGAAAAATTTTTTTCTCATGAGTAATCCCCCTTAATTTAAGACTATGTAGAAGTTTCTAGCACGTCAGGTTAATGAAAAAAATACTTAAAACCTTCAAAAACACGTTTTTTAGTGTCTTTATATAATAGATTTAGCGATTTTGTCTGTAAATGTCATAATTCCCGGTTTTTATTAAAAATCCCGGCTTTTTCCAGGCTTTTTCCCGGTGTATAAAATTCCAGGCTAATTCCCGGTTTTCCCGGTCAGTGGCCACCCTGTTTTTAGAGCCTATTCACGAGTCTCCATTAAAATAAAAGAAACTAGAGGTATGCAAAAAGTTCAAAACTCCATTGTGCTATTTTGAACTTTTCATTTTTTGAACCGAATACTCGAAAAAATTAGAAATTCATTGTTACTCCTTTGGTTTTCTTAAAAATTACCTACTTACTTTTTCTTTTATGTGAAAAAAATCAAACTCGAAAAAAGTATTCGTTTTTTAAAACTACAAAATTAATGAAAAAACAGGGTTATCTCTTATTTTTTAATATGGTTTGAAATAACTCAAATGAAATGAATGTACGCATAAATATAGCTTATAAATCACCATATTTTTACTCTGAAAAATTCACTACAGTACAGTATCTAAAGAAATGTTTAAAAAAATTGAAGTAAAAAACTTATTTTATTTATTAAAAAGGAAATGAAATGTCGATCATTGCCTATTGTCTCTTCTGATCGACATGACCAGTCCATTTATGGTACTGACTTACGATAAACGTTTTTTCCTATTATTGCCTTCAAATAAATGCAATTTTATCTGTAAACACAAAAAATTTTAAATTTTAAAGACTTGGAGAATGAACTTTAGACATCAAGTTACTGCATAAATTTTACGACATACATTTATATTTCAAAAAGAATTCTAAAAAATAAAAATTCCTTCAACTTGTCAATTTTCACTTTTGCTACTTTTATTTACATCTCGTTTTCAGATCATTCAGATTGACAACTGAAACATTTTATATTATAAAATATTTGTAATTAAATTAGGAAATATAAAAAGTTCATTTTTTAAAAAATTAACGTTAAGTTTTTAAAACAAGGACACAGAATATTCTGTAGCTGAAAATCTAGATTTTTAGATTTTTTTCTTAGTCACAATGCTTTTTAAAAATTAAAAGAAAAATCTAGAAATAACTGTTTTAGGTATAATGAATAAAAGTCATAACTTTACAAATCGTCATCAAGCTATATTTTTTACCTGAGCTTTTAGATCCACGTAATATTAATAATAATAAGTATTGTGACGTTTCTGTAAATAGATAACAAAGTATTCTCTTTATTTGCTTTCTGCCCATTGGTTGACCAATAGGCGTCATTGAGACTTCATTGAAACGAGTTTGCGAGAACGAGCTCTTGTTTCTGTGCGAATATTTGTATATTCAAACCATAAAACGTTTGGAATAAGAGATGTGTCTCTTAATAGGAGATACTCAGAGGCTCTCCTGAAACAAATTATAACAAATAATAACAATTCAATTAACTTCATGAATTATAAAATTTAATTATTTTGAATAATAAATAATGAAACTTACCATGAAACAATGACAGGAAAGAAAGGAGTCAGCACTAAATGTGTGACTAAAAACCAAATGATTCCCAATGCACTTCCCAGAATCATTCCACATAGCACTTGAGCTTTCGAATGATATTGTAGATAAATTCTACTGTACGCTACAAATACAGCTACAGTAATACAAAGAACTATTGTCAGCATACGCCAAAATTTTTGTGAGATTGTACTATTATTGTTATGGTGCAATCTGCAATTGTGAGACAAGGTTTTTACTTTATACGTCAATAATATTTTCTTAAATAATCCATCAATCCTAGTGACTGATAATTTATGATTATAGTGAAAAAAAACTGAATTTTAAAGATCGAAAAAATTACACACCTATTGAATTTATGTCGGAAACAATTCATTATTAAATAAAAAATTTGAAACATCTTACAATTTAAAAAAACGATCAACAATTTATAACATTGCAAAGTATTTACCTGACTAATACAAAAAGGACCATGTATGCTGTGAAAAACCATATAAATTGGGAATGAGACGATGGCATTCCATATTCGGAGTACAGAACTTCACGTCTCATAGGTCTAGCTTCGCAAATAGTATGTTTTAACAAAAAATTAACAACTTCATTTATTACCATTCCAATAAAAAATACAATCTGTAAAAATTTAATTTGTTTTTGTACTATTTTTTATCATACATACATAGTAATTTTAATATGAATGTGACTTACAGTATGTAGATCTCGTCTAAAAATTATCAAAGTGATAAAACCAGTCAATACGGCAAAGGGCATTAAACTAATAAGAGCTAAAAATTTTCCAAATCCATCACCTGAAAGTTACAAAATGTAAACAAATTATGATTAAAAAATATTTATGTAAAACAACATTTAGATAAAAATGGGTTTCATTCCTAGTTAAGTCTACATGAATAAGACGAATTTCTTTTTCCAAAAATTTATTTCACCGCATTAAAATAGTTTGCACACTTTGCACTCGATAATTAATTTTTAAAAAGTAGCTTTCAATCTAAAAAAAAAGTAGTAAAAAGCCACAAAAATTTTAATTTACTTTTCCCTGACTTGCAGATAGAATTTTGACTTTTCCCCTGATTGCGATAACAGACTTCACACGCGATACTTAATTTTTAAAAAGTAGCAAAAAGTATCTTTCAAACTAAAAAAAGTAGCTATCGAAAAATTAAACTTGACAACCAAAAAAACTCGTTTTAGACACTTTACAAAACTGACAAAAATTCCTCTATTTTATATGTTCCTAACTTTTTCCTAATTTTCATCAAAAAATATTTACTTCTTTCTTATCCTGCAAATAAATTGAATTCCTGCAACGAATTTTATTATTCATCGAAGAATTTCAATATTTATAAACATAATTAAATTCTTACGAAGAATTTTATAAAAATTTTTAAATAATTGATTTCTTTCGAATAATTTTATGCAAATTCTAATTTAAGTAATTGAATTCCCGAGAAATTTTTATTATATGATTCATGAAAAGAATTGAATTCTTATGAAGATTTTTATAAAAAATTTTTAAACAATTGATATTTTCGAAATTTTTTTTTTTAAAAAGCTATTCTAAATTAATTGAATTCCTGTGGAAATTTTAATATTTATGAAAATAATTGAATTTTGGATAAATTTTATTAATTTTTTTTAAATAATTGAATTCTTTTGCGAAACTTCATGTAAATACTAGATATTGAAAATAATTGAATTTCGAATATTTTTTGAAAATAATCAAATTTTACAAAGAATTCTATTAAAATTTTTGACAATAATTCAATGCCAGTGTGGAATTTTATTAAATTTTTTTGAAAATAATTGAATTCTTGCGAACGATTTTATTAGAATTTTTTAAAATAATTCAATTTCCAAGAAGAAATTTATTACTTTTAAAAATAATTGAATTCTTATGATGAATATTGTTATTTATGAAAATAATTGAATTATTGCGAAAAATTTTATTAAAATGTTTAAAAAGAATTGATTTTCTGTGAGAAAAAAGTTATTTTTGAAAATAATTAATTTTTTTGAAATATAATAAATATTATATGAATATTTTATTTTAAATAATTGAATACATTTGGAAAACTTTATATTTGTGAAAATAATTGAATTTTTCTATTAATTAATTTAAACAGTATTAAAAATAATATAAATTTTTCGAGGAGTTTTATTAATAGTGGAAATAATTGAATTGAATTTTTAATTACGCCACCCAAATGCAAGAGCCTGAAAATTAGACAGTTTCTATAACATTCTTCTTTTACACTCTAACTTCAACCATTAAAAATCACTCGACTCTAGATTCTCTGCAATATTTTTTATCAAACAGCCTTCGACTTCTATTGGTTATTTCGATCCTATTTAAAGAATGTTATCTATTTTCAATTCTATCTTCTCCAGTGCCCCCGACATAGTCTCTGCACGATTTGAATAATAATTATCTAAATTCTTATACATGTGTGAACTTTCAAAACTCAGAAAAATTTAATAAATCATTCTTAATTTTATAAAATTAAATAATTCATGCCCATCATCAATCTTTATGATTGAGGTCTGTATAATTTGGCAAATAATGAAAAACTAAAAAAATAAACTAATTTCGAAATTCCAAACAATATATACAATAAATAATAAAATTTAATTTTTAAATTAAAGTTGAAAATAGATATACTGTCGAATGCCAGACAAACTTTAAAAATAATTTTGAAAGCATCAGAAATTTTTTAAGCTTCATGTAGGTATATTGTTGAGTTTTGAATTTAGTAGCATTTTAAAATTATTCTAGATAAAATCATCTGGCCAATCATTGTCATTTAAAACATGACCAAGACCACTTTTATATTGTGTTTATACATCTAAAAGGAAAACATAAAAGAATAATTCTTGCTATCCAAGACTTTTTATTTTTCATATTCTACTTTTCCATCTTTTATTATAGTTGTAACAACCACTTTCAAAAATGTCAAAATAGTTCTTGAAAGAACTAAAATTTTAAATAACAAAATATTTAACATTTTAGTTTTGAAAAGGACATGTACATGAAAAATAAAATCGTTAAGATCATATTAAAATATTGTACGATTTATTCATCTACAACTTAAAACTATAGATTTTATCATCATTTGCGTATTAAATTATCTACGACTCAATATTCTGTATTTATTGTATAGTTTCTGACACTTTAAGTAATTCGAAATTTTTAAAAACATCCTTTTTTACATGATAATATAATAATATTAATGTATGGCAATGATGAAATTTATAATATTTATTCATGAAAAGAAAATCTTCATGAGGATGAGCATGACGCAACGAACACAGCAGTTTAGAAAATAAATTTCAAAAATTATAAATTCAAATCAGTTATTATAATTATTATTATAATTAAAATGAAACTTTCAAGAGACTTATTTTCTTGTTTACAAAAAATTAATTTTTATTGGAATTTTATTTTGTAATTAACTATTAATACTTTTATCATTAAAAACTTCAGTAGTTTATTCTATTATAAATACACAAATAAATAATATTTTTGATGCTTCAAAAATTACTTTAAAAATATTTCTATATAAACAATTGAGGGCTCGGATCGAAGAACCGACGCTTGTAAACGCACAGAACATTGCGAAGCGTCGGTTCTTCGATCCGAGCCCTCAATTGAAAAAAAAGTTATAAAGTAGAAACAACCATTAACGAATCAAATAAATGTAGTAAACTATATTTTAAAAAATAATATTAATAATAAATAATAAATATATTTTAAGATATAAAACTTTCTCAAAGACAATATTTTGTTTCATTCAAATAATAAATTTTTTCCTGAATGGAACAAAATACTTGTTTAATGAAACAAAAAAAATTAGTTAACTGCAATACGTGCTTGGTTCATTCAAAAAAAATATTTAATTCAGGGGTGCCACAGGTCATGTATAGTAGCTTTAAGATTGAAAAAGTAGTAAAAAAATAGCTATAGAAAAATTAAACTTGACGACTCAATTTTTTCATAATTTTAAAAATTAAATTAGATTCAAAAATAAAATACTTTCTATCAAATAAATATTTAAAAACCTGGCATATTTATTTTTCCACGGGAAATAAAATACTTTAGCAATGATTTCAATGTAAAGTATTTTTTAAAATTAACTATTTCTAAAAATTACAACTGTAGGTAATTATTCTTTGAAAATTAATTATTTTTTTGTTTTAAAATTTTTAAATAAAGTTATTCAAAACTTCAACCATTTTATTTCAAAAAGAAAATTTTAACACTATTACAGTTTTGCAACAATTAAAATGTTTAAAGATTTCAATTTAAAAATCTTTTGAAATTTATTCATTTCCAAAATATTCTCACTATGACGCTTGTAATAATAAATTATTGTCTACAATTTTAATTGAAATTCAATTTTAAATCAATTCTTATTAGAAAGTTCTACGAGAATTCAATTATTTAAATACAAAAATTAATAATTTATTGAATAATTGAAAATTTCTTAAATAATTAAATTCTTACAAGAAATTTAATTTAAAATGTATTGAAAATAATGATTAAATTCTAATAAACAAATTATATCAAAATTTTTTAAAACAATTTAATTCTTTTAAAGAATTTTAATAAAATATTTAAGAATAATTTCATTTTTTTCTAGTTTATTTAAAATTGTATTTGTATTAAAAGTAATTGGAATCCTGCGATGAGTTTTTAACTTATTTATGAAAATAATTGAATCCTTGCAACGAATTTTATTAAAATTTTTCCAAATAATTGAATTTCTGAGAAGAATAAATTTTATAAAAGTCTTTTTTAAATAATTGATTTTTTAATTTAATGAAAATTGTATTTTAAATAATTTAAATCTTGTGAAGATTTTATTATTAACAACAGAATATTTGCAAAAAATTTTATAAAAAATTTTTTGAATAATTTTTAAAAAACTGTATTAATAAATTTGATAATTTATTGAAATTTTGTAAAATTGAATTGCAAATAATTTTGATCTTTTCTTATCGGAAGAAGGGAAAAAGTAAAAATTCTATCTGAAAGTCAGGAAAAAGCATGAGGAGATAAAAATAAAGTACTGAATATAAAGTGATAATTTAAATGAAAAGTAAATTGAAAATTTTCTAGAACAAAAGATGAATAGTACTACAATATTCTGGAAATAAACATACACTTAAAATAAGATAGAATTGCTCATTTTTAATGTATGTATCAAAGATAAGAAATTTCAATAATATTGAATTATTAACAATCAGAAAGAAATGTTTTTTAAGCCGTCAATCTATATTTATGAAAATTCCATTATATCGAGTAGAGAAAAAACTTGTTGGAAATGTTTACTTATGCTAAAAGTACAAGAATATTTTGAAATTTTCTCATTTTTATAGACTTTTAGTACTTTATGGCTACCTTGTGAAACTCACCTTGCGGATACTCGACAAGTGTCAATGAAAGTGGAATCCAGTCTAAATTGTCGTTTGAAACTCCCAATTTGGATTTTATATCCAAAAAAGATTCGTTTTCTGGTGTTGCCATTTTATAATATCACCGATGCCGCGTGTGCGGTGACATGAATGAACTGTTTTCGCTCCTTTTTTTATTTAAATTGCTCACATATAGAAATAAGAGATTTAAATAAAATATTTATTTTTGCGGGAACACTTGTCTAACTAATAATGTTTAAAAATTATGTACAAATTCAACACAGACTTATGATAACGAAGACGACGTTTTTCGCATTTATTTTGCATTAATTGTTTGTTTTCTTTTACATTGATTGAATCTGAAGACAATTTATAAATTTTAGGAAAACATCTTCTATTTTGAACACGAAAGTAAGACGGAAATAGACTGTCACAACAAATTTATATAAGTGAATCAGGCTCTCCCCCTCCATCAAAGAGGAAGCAACTCACTAGATTGCCAATAGAGAGCAGTTGGATAGATTGTGAGGCAGTGTTTACATGCTTGCGTTCGAACGCTGCGTTTTGAAGGAGAAGATTTGTGTCGATGGTTCGGATTCAGATTTTGCAAAAAGTCCTTTTGTGCAGAGAAAAACTTGTTCGAAAATGATTGTTTACCAATTTCACGTCATTTAAACCAGGCAGTGCCGTTTCTCTTGGGCGACAACTGTTTGTCAAACATAATCTAGAAATTTCAGAGACCATCGAACACCGTTAAACTTATATATTCTTCATTATGCAGAATATATCAAATGATTATTCCCAACTTTTGAATTTCATTGAATATATAATTTAGTTTATTGAGGATTCGCGTATCTAGTCATTTCTAAATTTTATATTCGACATAATAAGCATTCGAACTTATGTTTTTGGTACAGACGGTCGCACCCCACACTTTATGAGTCATGACACTTACTGAAAACGACACTTTGCGAGACTTGACTGTACTAAGTTACGCATATTATTTTATAAATATAAATAACATTACATTTATAAGATAAAAAAATATGATTTTCCTTTTTTTTATTTTCATATTAAAAATTTTTTTTAGATAAAAGTAATCATCGTAATTGTGTTAAAATATATGTATTTATATTAATAAAAATAATAAATATAAATTATTTAAATAAATAAACTTAAATTCTCAATATTCTCTTGAAAAAATTAAATTACCCTAATTTCTTTGGTTATATTACCCCAACTTAAATTCTCGAAAATTTAAAAACACACCACTTCTGTCTCTGTTTGATCAACGCACAATAACTTCGCGAATGAGACGCATGAGATAGAAAAGGGCACAAATATATATTTGTCCTTTTCTAACTCATGCTTTGCGTTCGCGAAGTAGTTGTGCTACGGCCTTTAGACGTTCCGCACTAGCAAGTGTGGAATGAGCATAACGTGACTCCTTTCCGATCGGAGCGCCATTGGATTTATGAGAGAACTAAATTCATTGAAATCAATAGTCTCATCACTCTCCCAACCGTGATATCTCGTGACACCGGTATATGACCGTTGACCGGAGAATTTTGTATATATTTATGCATATAAAATCAGTGCCTTGCATCAACAAGTATTTTGGTCATTTTTTTAAAAAAATTGACAATCAAGTTAATAGTTATTATTCAACTCATAATAAGAAAATGAATCCTGGATTAAATTTAATTGCTGCTGCTTGTGAGGGAATGGGAATTGGGATCAATGGAAATTTACCCTGGCGTTTAAAGTAACTGAAATATAGTTTTTTTAAAAATTTTATTACTTGTCTTTAAAATTAGAAAGAAGAGAAAAAAGTTAAAAATTGTAATAAATTTCTTTTTTATAAAAAAAAAATTGATAAAAGATTAAGATATAAATGATTGCTATAGACATTGTCACTGAACATTTGCTTTACATTGTTAATAATTGAAGAACTGCGCTTTGTTTTTAGAAATATTTATAACATGATGTCTAAAATGTTTCTTTTTAAAAATAATAATTATATAGGTTTAAAAGAAAAATATTAAGAGTAGGGAGCGGTAAAATTTCAACCTTTGGACATTTCAGTTGTTAAGGAGCGGCAATTATTTTTCTGGCATTTAGGATCTAAATTTATTCTTTATTATTAAAATACGAAAAGAATTATTTTTGAACATTTTCGAAATTTTATTTTTTGAAAAAATTAAAATATTTCAATATCCATAATATTCAGAATTGTAAAGAAGGCAAATCAAAAGTCAAGGACATTTCGACTTTATTTTATTGCTATCTTAAACAATATTTGTAAATTCTTTTAACCCATTTTAATTATAAGCATAGTATATTTATACAGTTGCGGGGCGTATGACACTTTTAATTTTTATTTGAAATAAATAATTTTTTACACTTTTAACTATTTTTCTAAGAATATGAACCTCAATGCAGGTGAAAATAATGAAAATAAAAAATGTTGAAGGTATTGGAAAAAAATAATGTCAATTTTCACCATTTTTTTTACTAACACACTTTTTAGCGCCATATTAGATCCGCCATTGTGAATTTTAAAAATCTGATTCCAGATTCTTAATCAGCAACTCCAAAAATGCCCGAGTAACGATTTTCAAACCATATGAATGTCCAGGAATATCAATATTGACTTATTAACTTTAAGAGCGTTTTTCTCGAAAACTTTATTCAAAAAAATTGACCACCCATAAATAATAAAAATGTAGATGGGTTGAAATTTCACCGGTTCCTACTCATAAATAAATTTGTTACTTATTTTAATTTTTTAAGATTCAAATGCAGACATTCCAACTTCAAATAAAAAAATTTCACATTCTATAACCAAATTGAAAATTGGTTCTAACTGTTGATCACATCTAAATTACCCCTTTGCAAATTCATATTAAAAAATAAATAAGGTGCTTTCACATTTCTAATTTAAAATTAATGTTATAAATTATAGAAGTGAAATGGCATTTTTTACGAACATGACCAGCAATACTGAAGATTCAAATAAACAAAATGTCGTTCTTATGGGTAGAAGAACTTGGGAATGCATTCCAAAAAAATTTAGACCGTTAAAAAATAGGATAAATATGGTTTTAACATCACAAAAATTGCAAGTATAATTTTTTACTTTTATTATAATGCAACTTTAAAGTAATATTATCATTATATTATCATTTTACTCGTTCTAATTCTTAAATTAATAAATCAATTATCGGACATTAATTTATACTATATTTTTTAATAGGGATCTAGGTGATGAAGCAATCGTATGCCACAGTTTACAAAATGCAATTGATGAAATTGCTTCTTCTCCTTTGAAGGATAAAGTGGAAAAAGTTTGGGTCATTGGAGGTGGATCGGTTTACAAAGTACTAAATTTTTATAATTTTTATTTTAACGGTATAGTAAAGACTGATTGAATAATATGGATGGTTTAACATAATTCTGTGGTTTTAATGATTTTAAGGAAGCAATGAGTTCACCTAATTTTCATAAACTTTACTTGACGAGGGTAAAAAAACAATATGAATGCGATACATTCTTCCCATCTTTACCAAAGAATCTTGTACTTGTCGAGTAAGTACAATTATTATTATTGTTATTTTAGAAAAATTTTTAACTTCTAAATGAAATAATCGCTTGATTTTGAACAATATTTTTTCCTTAACCTTTAGAGGATCGGTAAATTTTCACAGATTTTAATAGTTTTTTATTTTAAAACATTTATAAGTAAGAAGTCAATTCAATAAAAAGATTCGTCAAAATAAATGGTGGCCACCCAGGCCGGCAACACTGCGAAAAATGAATTTTTGAAAAAATGACCAATGTTGTCCGCCATATTGGATACGCCATTTTAAATTTTGAAATTCTGTTTCGGATTTGGTGATCCCAAAACTTTTTAAATGTTATGTTTTAAGGCTTCTTTTGAAATTCTAAATTTTTGGCCATTTGAGTAGTGATGCCGACCCTCTAAAGGCTAATTCTAATTAAAAATTATATTAGTTTAAGAAAAGTTTTTTTTCAATCTCAAGTTTTATTCATTTTCTTTGTTATTCAGTGATCCAAATGTTCCTCAAGGAATACAAGAAGAAGGTGATATTCAATTTGAGTACGAAGTTTATAAAACAGAGCAATAAAATTTGTTTCCTGAAATTTTATCAGTATTCACAACTTAAAAAAAAATTTATATTGTTTTTTGAAGGAAATTTTTTTTTAAAATGATACTGTAAATTTTCGAAATATATTTTTTTAATAATAAATCCAAATCTTTAAAAAATTTTCTGACTATTTTTATTCAAATGTTTTCTTATTTTATTTCGCAATACCTACACTGAGAAAACTGGAGAGTCAAATTCAGAGGTTCAAAAAGTGTATGTTTCCTTTGCTTATGAAGAGAGTTGAATAGTCCTTCTAAAATAAATTTTGAATTGATAATGGAAATCTACTTGTATATTCTCTCCCATTATATCTGAGGGTTAAAAGTTGCGCAGAAAATGTGTACGATCTGATGCGCGCGAAATTATTTTTCTGACATTTTATGTATTTAATTTAGGGGTTAGGTTGCCATATTTATTCATTTCGCGCCGGATAAGGAAGGGATTTCTCAAGATGGTTAATTTGTCCCTCTGTTATAAACTCATTTTCCCTCCAAGAGAAATGGCACGAATATCTGTCAATGGTGTATTTGAACATTTAGATTGTTATCCAATACCTAACTCTCAAATATCAACGATTTGTCCCTCCAGATGTTTAGTCCAATAAACCAGTTTTCTCAGTGTACCTATAATAAAAAGCTTCTTAGCATTTGTTTATATTTATAATTATTGTGATTAATATTAAATAATTATTTTATGAAAATAATGTAAAGAAATTAAATAAATTTCGATTAAAATCCGACTGAAAATTCATTTTATTTACACTTGGAGTCATTCCAGTGAAAACCGTCTAAAACTGGTTGCTCGATGATTTTAAAAAATTCTGTAATTAATATATAATATTCTTCAATAAAATTGGAGTATATTTTAGTGGTTTATCCAAATCCTATATTTTACATTCTTTTAAATATTTTTTTTAATTTGTAACTGGTTATGCTGTCTAACATAACCCATTTAATTTTACGAAAACTCCGTATAAATCATTAAAAATAGATTATAAATACTGATTTTTACTTTTTAAATAAATATATTTTTGATAAATTCATCTAAATAAATGAAAATTATTTAAAAATAACTCACCAGAACAGTTGAATCAGTATTTTTTTGTACTTGCACAGTATAATAAACATCAATTTCTTTTTCTTACATCTTCTGTGGAGAAAAAGGAATTTTCACGAAACTTTTTCAAATTGTTATATTTTAAAATTATAAATTTATTTAAATTGGAATTTTTTTGGGACCTGTACTTATTAATTATTTAATAAATATGAAAAATTATATAAATTTAACCTGATTTTCATTGAATTTTTATTTTCATGACATTTATAATCTATTTTTAATGATTTATACTGAGTTTTCGTAATCTAATTTTATTGAAGAATATTATATATTAATTACAGAATTTTTTAAAATCATCGAGCAACCAGCTTTAGACAGTTTTCGCTGAAGTGACCCACTTGTAAAAAATTAGCCAAATAAGGTTTTAGTTACTTGATAATTTTAGAGGAGTTGAGTAAGAATTCCAAACATCTTCATCTAGATAATGTATTTCAAAAAATAACAAATAACATTTACAGAAAATATTGTTTTTGTGAGTTTGTGATGAGAGATATATTAATAAGTTTTTTCTGAATTCAAGTTCTTAAATAAAATTGTGTCAACGAATGTATTTTGAAGAAAATATACAATAAGTACTTAATCCTTCGTTACTTAGAAGTTAAGATCCATTTTTGCATCGATTCACAGTCAATCAATAAATCATATTAACTAATCAAATTGAAAGTTTGAAGAAAGATTTCATATCACATAAATTCGTCAGAGTCGTAACCAGAATTATCCGTATTCATAGTCATTTTTGCATTTTTAAATAACGAATTGTAACTCCTAAAAATGAAATTAGTTATTTAAAATAATTTCATACAGAATCAATCCTCTATATATTTATTCATTGAAGGTAGTTGCCAACTAATTCTAAAAATTATACAATATTATAGAAAAATCAGTAATAAAGCTCCTTGGATTACGGAAATATACATCTTTTCTTTCAGTGTAGATGACAATCAACAGATTCAGATGCAGACTTTGCACTCGATAATTAATTTTAAAAACGTAGCAAAAAGTACCTTCTAGACTAAAAAATGTAGTAAAAAAGTAGCTATAGAAAAGTTTTTAAAAAAACCGCTGCACAAATTGTATATTTTTTTTATAATTTTGGTGCTCATTTCATGAACACTTTGCTTCCTCATAGAGATAATAATAATATAAATAATAAATAACTTTTTATAAAAATGGTAAAAGTGATTGAATCTTGGGTCAATCAATGTATTTTTGAATACCCTACAAGATAGTTATAATAGTTTAATAGTTAAACAAAAATGTTCAAACAAAAAAATTGAAAAAATGTCATTCTTCACAATTTTTGGTTTTTAAAATACCAATAATTTCGAGATTTATGATCGAATTAGGTTCAAAAATAGGCCAATCAAAGCGTTTTTTAATGCTCTACAAGTTGGTAACAATAATTTTAAAGTTACTTCTACATTTTTCAATAAAATTTTCAAAAAAGTCTTATTTTCCATTGATTTTTAAAAGTTTAATATCTCCGGATAGTATGGACAAAAAATGTTCAATAAGCGCTCAAAAGATGAGTCTAAAAAACTCTACAAAATTAGAGAAAATCCTTTATAGGTATCCTAACATTTTTTTAAATTATGGTCAAAAACGATTTTTTGAAAAATTAAAAATCCAAAAAAAATATAGTTAAACTTTATGAATCGGGCTGAAAATAGTCTTATATTATGTCTGCACTTGAGACCTACAATTTAAAAAAAAATTCATCCCTAAAGCTCTTCATGATCTCGAAATATTTATGAAAATGTAATGTTTACACACACACACACACACACACACACACACGAAATAACATTTTTGAACTCCTGAGGTCAAATAACATAAAGATATGTCAAAAAATCGAACTCGAAAAATTTTAGTATTACAATACTTCCTCTATGAGGAAGTAATAATTAAATTTTACAAAGAATCCTATTAAAATTTTTGACAATAATTGAATGTTTAAAAAGCATTTTACTATTTATTAAAATAATTGAATTTCCAAGAAGAAATTTATTACTTTTAAAAATAATTGAATTTTTGTGAGGGGCCGTTCAAAAAATACGTAACGCTATTTTTCGGAAATTTGGACCCCCCCTCCCCCATGTAACGCAATGTTGTATACATTAGCGCCATTTTTTCTGCTGACCGTAACAAATACCTTGACCCCCCCCCCTCCCCCCTAAAGCGTTACGTATTTTTTGAACGGCCCCTGATGAATATTGTTATTTATAAAAATAATTGAATTTTGCAAAGAATTTTATTAAAATGCCTCAAAATAATTGAATTCAAAAATTCAAAAAAATGTAATTAAAATTGTATTTAAAATAATTGATTTCTTTCGAACAATTATTTTATTAAAATAATATTTGAAAATAATTAAATTCCTGTGAAAAATTCCATTATTTTTGTAAATAATTGAATTCTTCCAAAGAATTTAAAAAAAACATTTTATTAAATAATTGATTTTTTCGAGGAACTGAAATTAAATTTTTAATAATAATTACATTTTTTGAGCAATTCCTGTAAAATTGTATTAACAATAATTGAATTCCTGCGATGAATTTTATTATTTATGAAAATACTTCAGTATAGTTACAAAGAATTTTATTAAAATTTTCAAAAATAATTGCATTCCTGAGATGAATTTTATTATTTATTATGAAAATAATTGAATTATTGCGAAAAATTTTATTAAAATATTTAAAAATAATTGAATTTCTGTGAAAGATTTTGTTAGTTTTGAAAATTAATTGAATTTTTTATAAGAAGTTTATAAACAATGTTTCAAATAATTAATTTGTTCAAAATATAACAAATATTATGAAAATTTTATTTTTAATAATTGAATTTTCATGAAAAATGTTATTATTAGTGAAAGTAATTAAATTATTGTGAAGAATCAATTGTATAAAAATTTTGTTAAATAATTTATTTCTTCGAAACTTTTTGAAATTGCTATTCTAAATTAATTGAATTCCTGTGTAAATTTTATTATTTATGAAAATAATTGAATTTTGGATGAATTTTATAAATTTTTTTTTAATAATTGAGGCCTTGGATCCAATAACTCGCCCGACGCTCGAAGACACGCGCTAATACCAGCCGGGTAGCAGTGAGTGGCCCAGAGGCGCTCACTGCTCACTGACTGGCAGTTGCGCGTTCCTCCGAGCGTCGGGCGAGTTATTGGATCCAAGGCCTCAATTGAATTATTTTGTGAAAATACTAGATATTGAAAATAATTGAATTTCGACTGTTTTTTGAAAATAATTGAATCGTTTTAAAGAATTTGATTATATTATAAGTTTTGGGAATAGTTTTTTTATTTCTAAATTCGCTATAGCGAATTTAAAGTAGTGGAATTTCTAAAAAAAAAACAGAAATAGTAGCTTTTAGTGGGTGAAATCTAAAAAAGTACCCAAATAGTAGCATAATTTAAAAAAAAGTAGTAAATAGTAGGTTTTAGTAGATGAGTGCAAAGCCTGCAAGATAGTTGAAGTAATTAAACAAATTACATAATTAAATTTAGTTGACAACAGCTTCATTATGAAATATTAAATCTATAATTTTGAAATAAAGCTTAAACATTTTACCTTATTTCAGCTTCGTCTTGACGTTGTTTCTCATCTTGTTTTTCTTTCTCTTTCTGCTCTCTGAGAATCCTCTTCTTATCTTCTCGCTCCTTCCTGTCTCTCTCTTCTTTCGCCAATCGGAAGTTAACTTGTTCTGACCTTTTGGTTTTGTTCAATCGATTGACTAATGCATTGAGACGCTTTGCAACATGAAGTTTACGAACTTCTTTTTCCTTATGGAAACCCACTTGTCCGACATCCATGCCCTGAGTTTTTTTAAGATTAGACCACATTGTGTATACGACGTCAACGTCATTCATTTTGTTTCCCTCTATACTGTTTGCTTTTACAAGTTGTGCTGCATCGTCCAACACTGAACTTGGAATGTCATCAATTGTCTGGCCCTTCATTTATTTAAACACGAAATTTTATTTTAGAGCAATTCCATCTCATAAACATCATAAACATTTCATGCTTATTTTCAGGGTTTTATTCAATGAGACAAGTATTTTTTCCTAAATTTAACGGAAGAAAAAGTGCATTTGTGTCTAAGAGAAAAAGGTACGTTCTATAGATTTTGATTTTTTGTTTTTTGGCGTGTTTTTTTGACCCCTGCATACTAAAATACTATTAAAAATTCTAAAACTAGTCGAGCAAAAATGGTCTTTCAATTTACAAAATTTCGCACTTTTTCTCGCAAGCGGTAAAGAAATGTTCCATTTCATACACTGTTAACTAAATAGTATCAAATTGAAACGAATTGATACCAAAAATGTAGATCAAATAAAAAATTGATCCAAATTTTTGACATTTGATACACTTTAATATTAATTTGATACTTTCAAGAAAACTGATTAATAACGTGCGAAAAGGTACAGATATTGAAGTTCCATATCTTTATGATCATTAAACTGCTTTTTATTAAAACACTTCGTTAGTAAAAAGTGAAATGGAAAATTGCCATCAACTTACGCAACGAAGTCTTAAATATACGTGAGCTGACGAAAATTTATCTACGTGAAACCAAACATCTTCCGGCCATCCCCATTTAATGAGATCTTCATCTAAGTGAAACAAAAATAAAAGCATCACGTAAGTTTTACATTACATTATGGTAGAAGTAATTGAACGGTGGCATTTTTTATAAAAAAAATCAGGTAATTTCATTTACACAGTTCTGTAAAAGGATTATTTCTTGTACATTGTTTTTTAAACTCGTTTTTAATAAAAATAACTAATAAGAATAAAAAAATAGCATAAATTTTCACTTACAATGCAATTCAGTTGAAACACAAAAGAAATTAATATTATTATGAATAGGTTAATATGGTTAAAAATATTGCTTTCTTTTTGATATCATTAAATATATATTAAATTTCGCTGGAACCTTTAACTTTCATGTCCCTCGCATATATTTTGATCATTTCAATAACTTTTTACTTTATTTTTGTTGGAAATATTAAAGCTTGATAAGATAAATTAGTTCCAAAAGGTTTTACATTAATTTATTAAATAGATCAATAATTATTCCAATTTGAGTGCCCGATTTTTTACAATATCTACTTGTCCCTAACCATACTTTCGGAAGGGTTAAACGATAAAACTTTGTAATGAGTAAGAATTACTAATTCTAAGACGCATCTTTATATAAAGTTAATTAAACAGTGAACACTTTTCCGTATGAAAATTAAAAATTTGTTAATTGTGAAAAAAGTTATAAGCTTTTAAAAGTTGTCCCTCACTTTTAACCTTTTTGATCGCAATCGAAATATTTATCATTTTTCATTAATAAGACAAATGGCACATCAAAATGACTTACGGGAAATAAAAGTTGAAATTATTAGAATTATTTTGAGACATAGTAAATTGATGTGCCTCGTGTGATGTGCCTTCAAAAAGCTGTTGTAATTTAAATAACAGAAAACACGTGCGTACAAAATTTGAAAACGACCGTAATTCGAGTGATACTCCACGAAAATCAAATAAAAATATTTTAAAAGTACTTGCAAATATTTTCGCATGTGCCATTTAATATCTCGTGAATGTGCTTCAAGAAAAAATACTTTATTGCAAAGATAATGTAAAAATATTTGTCAATTACGGTCGACCGTAATCGACCAAAAGTTTTTAGAAAAGAAATTGTTAAGTACGAAGTTGTCGATTCTCACTTTTTTTATAGAAACTGTTAATAAATAAAACTGAAGGTTAAGTTTCAATGTTTATTTTGATTTTTCATACACAGAATAAATGATCCAAAAAAATTAATTCTAAAAAAATAAGATTTAAGAAAAAAGAAAAAAATGAATAGAAATTGGAAAGTTTATGAGTGTTAAATTTAAATAAAATGTATCTGGAAATTGCAAGGTAAACTTTATACATTATAATTTCATATTTTTACAATTCAGTTTAATTAAAATCTATTTTTAAAATAAAAACCATTTTAATTTTTAGTAATTCAAACAAAAAATAAAAGAAAAGTAATGTTAATGACTAGTAATAATATAATAAATATAAAAGTAAGTAATATATCATATAATAATATAATTATTATTATAAATTACAACCCCTTAGATAATTACTTTCAACTGTTTTCCATTCTAAAAAACAAACACCTGTTAAATATTCTTTTGTTGCACGTTAAAAATAATTCGCAATTTTAAATAGTTTATAACATTTTGAAGACGAATCATTTTATCTTTCCACTTGCATATTTTGAAAGCTTATTTCTTAAAGTTTATGTAGACAGAGTTTCAATATGTACTGTGCTCAAAAAAAATTATCAATCTAACAAATTTTTTCTCATTGAAAAGTTAAAGGTTCTAGAGATATGCCCATGTAGGTTTATCTTCATAAATTGTATTTTCATTGGTAAAGCGAAATAATATTTTGAAACGTTTTTTGTTTTAGATTTTTCTTTAAATGACCAGGAAAATTTTTAAATACGTGTTATTTTTGTTTCCTGTAAAATCATGAAATTGTCGCTTGACAATTTAACATTAATTAAACATTAAATTAAAATTATACGAAATTACGAAAAAACCTTTCTTTGCAAGGCGTTGGGGAAAACGTATTATGTTGAACTTGTGAAAATTTGTAATCCTTTGATGGTTGTAACTATTGGACTCAATGTAAATAAAAAAAATTGTTTTTTATGTTGTGACTTATTGTTTATTAGAATAATATTCATGAAAGTCAGAATTGAAGAATTACTTAAAAACAATTTTATTGAATTTTGCTAAAGTTTGTAAACAAAAATTAAGGTTATGATTGATCAAGTCAATGAATATGATACGTACAGTCTGTTATTTATTGATATTTAAACATAATCTTAAATGGAAAAAGAATTACTACTTACTTTCGTGCTTATCAACACCCATAAATAGAGTTACAGGTGGTTCCACCACTGAAAATTAAAAAATTAAATGTTTGTAACAATTTCTAACCTTTTTCAACTTAAATTATAGCATAAAAAGAATAGACTTCTTTTATCGGAAATATTATGATTTCCAGATAAAAAAAACAATATTCTAAAAGCTCAAAATATACTTACCATCACTTTCAAAATAAAACACCATTTTTAAATAAAAACACACACTAAAAATAACTTACTAGAAAAGATTTACAATGTTTTTGACTGTTTTTGACGTTCATGCTCGGCTTGAGTTGCAGAAGCATGAAAATTCTGTGCACTAAAGCCCTGAGCACAATAACTTTCGCCGCAAATGACGTTGGCTCACGTGATGCATGTGACGTCATTCGAGGTTTTACGTAAAGCTGCTTCTACATTGCTAAAGCTGTATGGGCTGTATGCCATTTTCACGAACTGTTATTTTAACGAATTGTCATTTTTCCGAATTTTCATTTTCGCGAATTGTCATTTGTTCAAAGCGACAGCATTACGAACTGTCATTTTTGCGAAAAGTAATTTGTACGAAATGTTATTTGCCCGAAACGATATATTTTTACGATTTTCACTCTAGCGAAATGTCATTTTTACGAATTGCGAGACGAATTGCATTTTTGTGAATTTTGCTCGTTTAGCATTGCGTCTTGCAGAATGAATACGGATACAGGAACAGGGCATTGGAAAGAAAAGGACACAGACACCATCTGTCATTTTCTTTTGCATGTCCTGTTCCCGTATCCGTATTCATTCTGCTTTGGCCCTAAATGTATGAGATGAAGGAAATTAAGATCCTCGTGAATTAACCAATAGAAACTTTCGATTCAATAGAAATCATTTTAATACAGAATTCTTATCTTAACGTTTTCCGTTTCTGCTTACGTCCCGACACAGTGGCCCGAAAAGCAGAATATTATTATTGTAATAGTACCTTAAACTTATGAATTCTGTTTGGCATTTCAGAGGTTAAGAGGGCAAATACATATATGAAGGGATCTTGTAAATTCACCATAGTGAATAATATTTACTTTTTCAATTCTCTTGTACTCAGTACGGTAAATTTACAAAATCTTGTTTTTATATTTGAAAGAAAATAAAAAAATTGCCATTTTCAAGAATATTTCGAACTTGTGTAGTTTGCTCTTTTTTTAAATATACTAAGGATTTTAGAAATTAATAACTTTTTATACTATTTGATAGTAAATAATTTTTACTAAACATTACCTGACTCAATAAAAGGTGTAAATAGCATTTTAATCTCCGAGTGCTAGCAGTATTTAACTTGATGGAATGTTTATTATGACAATTTAATATGTTAGTACTACGTTCATTTCTGGAGTCAGAATTCATTTACGTTCTATTGTTAATGATTCATTGTTCTGAACAAGTTTTATGGCAAAGACAATGTTCAATGGAAGGAAATTACAAATTTTGTAAGTAATTATTAAATTTTTAACAATTTGTGGAGTGGATTTGTTGATTTATTTTTCTAAAACTAAATTCTGTGGGATGTCAGGTTCTTTGGAACAAGAAGAGATTTGCCATCCTCTCAACAGGTCTATTGGCATGAAAATAGAAAGTTTTGACAGTTCGGCTATTATTGTTAGACCTTACACAATGAAAATCACCCACAGTGGTAAACAGTGCAAGTTTACAATTAAAACGAAGCAGAAAGAAATGGGATTATTTGCTGTCATTCAAGAATTAAATTTCCGAAAATGGGAAGACGGACAATGCAAAGATTATGTAAAGGTAAATTAAAAATTCAACTCACTAGAAACTTCTTGAAAATTAATTACTGGTAATGACGGGAATTAATTTTCGATACTAAGCCTTCATTTGTTTTAATTTCTTACTTCTGAAAACGGTTTGGATAAGAAATTTTTTTGTTCTAAATTGTCAACGTTTTTTATAGAGCTGAAAAGTAAAATTATAATAATATTATAATATTTAATATATTTTCTACACAAGAATCAAAAACTGTAAAAAATTTGAGTATTAATACATTGTTAATATAAATTTTAACACATTTTAATTTGTTGTTTGGTATATTTTTTGTCCCCTTGTTGAGAGAAATAATTATTACTGACCTTATTTGGTTTATAACAAACAAATTAGTTTTATTTTAATGTTTAAATTAATCATTTGCCTTTTTTCAGTTTAAGAGTAAAGACAAAGATTGGTCAGATAAATGGTGCGGCTCAATAAATCGTGTAAAAAAAGATTTTGAAGTATCAAATCATTATTTTTCTGAATATGACTCTCAAGGGAAGCTAGACACATATATTTATATTTCTGAAGAGCCAATAGTAAATGAAGAGCTCAGGTTGTCTATAGTCTACACTCCAAATATCAGTAAGTTTATGTCAAATTATTTTCAAAAGAACGAAAGTATGATTTTTTCACCCTCTAACTGGTGATATATATTATCATATTTGTGCACAGTGGGCCAGAATCTACCAAAAGTGGCCAAAAGTCCATTTCTAGATTTTACTCAAATGATTTTTTTATTTTAAACAAAATGCAAGTATATGAGCGATTCCATGTCAAGTGATCAAGGGGTTTTACGGTACAATGCTTATTTTTATAATTTTTTCCTCTTAAACATTTAAACAAAAAAATTTGCAAGTCATAAGCCAATCCAATTAGTTTTAAATTTTGACGTCAGTCATGTTAGATCCACCATCTTGAATTTCCTAAAAGTGATATCAGATTCAGAATAAGCGACCCCAGAAACCCCCGAGTAACAAGTTTCGAGGAAATATTTTAACTTTTTGAATTTTGGCCAAAAAATCAGCGTCCCTGGCTCACTGTGTTAATGTGGTTTATTGTCACAAAAATATAGCCCAAATTCCATTTTCATAAAACGTCATTTAATTAAATTAAATAATTTATCCAAATTGTTACCTCAGTAGCACGTAATACACAGCAATATTGAGAACACTGCCTATTTTTCCATTAAAAATACATGGTATTAGAATTCTTTTTAAATTATAAGATTTCACTCTTCATTGTTAGAATTGAGAGGTCAACAACGAAACTACTTTTTTCATTTTTAGTATCCCTTCAACATTTGCAGCAAAAATTCAAACAATAAATTTAGTTAAGCGCTAAAATTACTAAAATCATTAATCAAGGGTTTCTGGCGTCGAGGATTTCGAATCCTATGTCAGTTTTTAAAATTTCAAAATGGCGGATCCAATATGACGGACCCCCGAGTAACGAATTTTAAACGAATTTGATCGATTTTTAAAAAACTTGTCCGCCATTTTAAAATTGAAAAAACTGACATTGGATGCAAAACCATAGACTCCAAAAACCCTTGATTAGTGATTTTAAAAATTTTCACATTTAAATTTTTGTTGAAAACATTAAAAAAATTCAATTTTGCAGAAATTACAAATAATTGCAGAAATTCAATTATTTTCAAAAAAATAAAATTCTTATAAAATTCAACTGTGTTCAAAATTTAAAAAAAAAATCTCGTAAAAATACCAATTATCTTTATAAATAACAAAATTCTTCTCCAAAGTTCAATTATTTTCATAAATGTCAAAAAAATTCTTGTCCTAATTTCAATTATTTTCAAAAATAAAATGAATTTTTCTAATTTCAATGATTTTCAATATCTACAATAATTTTAATAAAATTTCCCAAAAAGAATTCAATTATTTAAAAAAAAATTTAATAAAATTGTATGCAAACATTTCATTGTTTTCATAAATAATAACAATTTCACAGAAATTCAATTATTTTCACAAATTTAATAAAAATATTTTAAAGAATTCAATTATTATTTTTGCATAAAAAATAATTTAAAATTCTAGAAAATAATAATTATATTAAAATGATGAAAATAATTTTGATGAAGTTTGAGTAACAATATTTTTATAATATAAAATAATGATTTTATCTCTCGGTCATCTTTAATTATTATAAGTTGTTTAATTTAAAAAAGGTTTGAATTTGAAATTTTTGAATGTCTTAATTCCTTTGGAAAATCCTGTTCCAAATATAAGATTAAAAATAGGAATTATGCAAATATTTTTCTTCTTTTTCTAAAACAAAATAATATAATAATTTTGTTAAAAAAATTGTGATTCATAAACAAAAATAAGACCGTCCGACAAAATTAAACTTTTTCTTGCACCCATGAACGATGAACGAACCCAGGATTTTCGAAAACTAGATCTAAAAAAAAAGATACCCATGTCTGGCCATTTTTCGAGATCAAGTCGTTTACGGTTTTTAGGGGTGAAAACAACCCTTAAATAGAAGGTAACCAATTGTATTGCAAAAAATCTAGAATAATGGGAAATTTTTATTTAAAAATTGTTTAAACGTTATTGGGACTATTAAACATACCCTTACTAATATTTCAGGTCCAACCGTCAACCCCAAAACTACCCCTATTTAGATTTATTTAAAAAAATACTAATAAAACTAAAGATTTTTGAATTTTTTAAAAAATTAATCGTTGATTAATATTGTAATATCATTTTAAAGCCTACTGTTTTTAATTTTTCACCCCAACCCTTATCTCTAACTTACCCCTAAGCTAAATCAATATATTGAATACTGCCCTATAATTTTTGGAATTTTATAAAACCTCGTATTTAAGGGTTTTTGGGGTCGCTAATTACAAATCTGAAGTCAGTTTTTAGAAATTCAAAATGGCGGACAAATTAAAAAAATCATGCAATTTTTATAAAATTTGATAACCACGGTATTTCAGACTTGCGAAATATTAATTTGTAGTTAAGTAATTGTGTGAAATTAAAAATTTCTGACAAATAAAAGAAATGTAGTCTTTTATGAAATTGAAATTTATAATATACCGAAAATTTTATTATTTTATTTTAAAAATCGTTAACGCGTAAATCTTGTGCTAGGGTATTAATTTACTAAAAATTATATTATGGAAAGAAAACAACCGCGGTTTGGCATTAAAAATTAGCAAATTTATATTCCGCAAGTCCGAAATACCGTGGTTATCAAGTTTTATAAAAATTGTATGATTTTTTTAATTTGTCCGCCATTTTGGACACGCCATTTTGAATTATTAAAAACTGACTTCAGATTTGTAATTAGCGACCCCAAAAACCCTTAAATACGAAGTTTTATACAATTCCAAAAATTATAGGGCAGTATTCAATATATTGATTTAGTATAGGGGTAGGTTTTGAGATAAGGGTTGTGGTGAAAAATTGAAAATAGTAGGCTGTAAAATGATACTACAATTAATCAACGATTAATTTTAAAAAAAATCCAAAATTTTTTAGTTTTATTGGTATTTTTTTAAATAAATCGAAATAGGGTCGTAATCTCGAAAAATGGCTAGACACGGGTATCTTTTTTTTTAACCCTAGTTTCCGAAAATCCTTGATTCGTTCATGGGTGCAAAACCGTGTCGGACGGTGTAATGCAAAATAAATCAATTTTCTATTTCTTAATCACAGTTGTTTAACAATTTTCTAATTTTGCTTAGAAGTAAAGAACAAAAATCTGCATAATTTTAATTTGTCAAAACATAATATTTAACAAAATTTTAGTCTTTTAATGAAAAGAAGTGAAAAAAATTCTGATGATTTCTATTTGTCATTACAATTTTGCATTAATTATAAAATAAAAATAATTATAACATAATATTATAATATACAATCTATCTAAAGATAACCAAAAACAAAAGAATACACAAAAGACAACTTCAGAGTGTGAGGGACAGAAAAAGTGAATGAATGAAAGAATGAAAGAACATTCAAATTATTATAGTTAATTCAAAATATTACATATAGTTAATTGTTAATTTTTGCTGCAAATATTGAAGGGATACTAAAAATGAAAAAAGTAGTTTCGTTTTTACTAAATCTAGTGTAGAATTGACATTTTTAATTCAATCGAGATCCACAAGGGCTTAAAATTTTCTTAATGGGTCAAACCAGCTCAACTGTGTTAAAAAAATTTCATTGATTTTCTAAAATGCTAAAACTTTTATGAAAATCTATAGTTGACAACAAAACAAAAAAACACTTTTAACCTTTTTTCGCATTAACAAAATATTACAACTTTAAAATTAATTACTCAAAAGCCGTTCTTTACAATAAATTAATAACACTTATAATAATTACACAAAATTGTCCACTCTTTCAAATGAAAATATTTGCTAGATTGTATATTTAAAAATTCCATGTTTTTAATAATAATTTTATAAACAATTTTAATTATTTAAGTGTTCTACCCCTCCAATTGCAACGAGACTCATAGAGACTACTGAGTACACTTCCTATGAGTTTCATTGCAATTGAAGGGGTAGAACACATAAATAATTCAAATTGTTTATAATATTGTTATTAAAAATATGGAATTTTTAAATTTACAATCATGCAAATATTTTCATTTGAAAGAGTGAACAATTTTGTGTAATCAGTGTTATAAGTTTCATTAATTTATTGTAAACGGCTTTTGAGTTATTAATTTTTAAAAAAAATGTTGTAATATTTTGTTAATGCAAAAAAATAACAAAAATTTAAAATTTCAAAAAAGGTTAAAAGTGTTTTTTTGTTTTGTTGTGAACTACAGATTTTCATAAAAGTTTTAGCATTTTAGAAAATCAATGAAATTTTTTTAACACAGTTGAGCTGGTCTGACCCTAATGATATAGACTATCAATAAAAATTAAAACTTAAACATTTTTAACTGTTTGATGTAGAAACAAATAGTAGAAGTTACTCAGTGTTTAAAAATCATCAAAATTTTCATGAAATTTTATCTTTAATCGACTGTAACTAAATTTTTGTTGAATTTTATTCTGTTATCGATGGATCGAAAGGTAATTTAATTACGTTTCCAACGGCACCTTATTCATTATATTTTGATAAGCTGACAGGGAGTAGGTACATAAAGCCATTCATTTGTTCGACCCAATAGAAACGGGAGTAGGGAATTGCTAAAGTATTATTATTGTAGAAAAAAACGTGATACATAATCATTCACCACCTATGCTTTTATTTTACCAAGCATTAAAAAAAGCAAATTTTTCCTTCAGAATGTTCGAAAGTGGATCGAAAGAACTTTCGTCAAGTGACCCATGAAATTTGTATTTGGAAGGATTACATTTGTGATGGGTATCAAAATTGTGCCATAGAAGGTTGTGATGACGAAAAGGAATGTGTGCGAAGTATAGAAAACGATGGCACAGGTACTAAAGTCACTGTCGGTGCCGTGACAACAATATTCCTCTGCTTTATTCTCTTTGTCACATGCCTTTGGATATGTAAGAAGCACAAAAAATTGTGTTGGTCTGCAGATTGCGCTGGACCAACTGCAAACAGACCAACTTCAACTGCCGATAATGAAAGAACTCCTGCTGCACCAACAGCTCCCATGTTGCAATCTTCAGTCTCTTCTGGAGTTCAAGATAAAGATTTACCACCAAGTTACGATTCACTTTTCCCACAACAGTCCAATACTGCTATTTTGTAATTCAATTTCCGTAACTTCTAATTTATTATGTTATACGCGGAGAAAAAAAGAGAACTCCGTGCATTTATTTAAAATTTGGTTTTTGATAAATATTCCAAATGTGTTGGAAAATATTGATTTTTTTTGTTTTGTATCGGTTACATTTTTATATTTCCTCAAATGGCTTTAACTGAGGAATACATTGATTTATCTGAATAAGCTTTTATCGTTGATTACAAGAATCATCTTTTTTTGATTCGTGTAGAAAGCATCTTTTTTTGGAATCCAGTGCAACTTTTTTTTCAGCTGAATAGAAACAGAATCACGCATTTTTGGCTTGTTATCAAAACCCCTAAAAAATTATACACAGACCTAAGTAATCTAGGTTTCAATACTTATTTGCAGGTTGACAGTGAGTGTGAACTTTTCTTGTGACTAGTTTTACATAACTTGTATGTGACGTAAATCTTTTAATTTTCCTACCGAAGAAACTATGAATCGTAGTTTAAAAAGTGGCTAAATCTACTTTTAAATTTTCATCTTTGATTTCATTTCAAAGAATATTGAACGATTCTTATGCCGATGCATACTAAGTTTCTTCTTTTTGTCTAGGTCAAAAAAGTGTCCATTATTGCCCTCGGGGAATAATGAGTACTTTATCGACCTGTGAGTAAGGTCAATAATGTGACCATTATTTCCCTAGGGTAATAATGAGTACTTTATTGTGAAAGGCTGGGCTATAAGGGGGAACTTAATATGCGCCTGTTAAGGTAGGAAAAGTGACAAAATAAAAAAATACAAATTATATGAAACGAGTTTTAGACAAGAAAAGCTTATTTTTTAAAGTAAAAGAATGCGAAATGTTTCTAAAGTATTTTACACAATATATTATCAAAGAGAATAAGAGAAATTAGAAGCATTTTAGCATTATTTTGTTTCTACTGTTTTTGTATAGTCTTAAAATTAATCTTTGACAAGATTAGACAATACTGCTAAGAATAATATTTATTAATAAAATCAGACAGGTCTTTTTTAAATGTCTGGAAAGTTGTTTTCTAACGGCCAAAACTTAATTCCATTTCTTTCTGTTTTTAATTTATTATTATTAGACAAACTTTAAAATAAGAATTGTATGGTTGTGGTTGAGAATTAAGTGAATGGATGTGAGTAGTATTAGAGTATTTTTGTACATATAGTTATTTTATTCAAAGCAGCAGCAGCCTTTTCGTATCAAACATTGTGATGTAACTTATATTACATTTTATAAAGAAAAAAAAATAAAAAGGGCAGAACAAAGTAGTTTTTAGAGTACTGCGCAAAAAGAAATGTGCAATTCAAGATCTTTATTCGTGATAAGAATAAAAAAATTCGACTCAATGAATTGGATGGAATAACCAAAAAATTATTTGGACTTTTGTAATTTTCTACGTACCAAAAAAACATATTTTTACACGAGTATTTTATATAAAAACTAATTCTTAAGGTTGGAATTTGAGAAATATTTTCCATAATACAAACGTACAATAATTTTAAACACATTATTACTATTGTCCATCAATGTAAATTGTTTTATACAAAAAAAAATAAATAAACATCAGTGTTGTTTCACAATATTAAAATTTATTAGTTTTTGAATTAACATTTTTATTTTATTATTCGTCAAAACATATTTTGTGATTTGAGGAATCTTAGATGTTTTTTTTAATTCGTTTGGTATATGAAACACGAAATATCTACTTTTTCTTCTGAATTGGTTTTTTAGGTTTCGCCTCCTTCTCTTCTTCTTTTTTTTCGACCTTTTCCTCGACCTTTTCCACTGGCTTCTCTTCAACAATTTCCTCTTTGACCTCCTCCTCAGGAGCTGTGACAATGACGGTAATTTCCTCGTCTGATTGATTAAACGTAGAATTATTCTCTATGAACCAGAGAGCACCGTTTATCACACTATCCATTTCTACTGGATCGCTTGCTAAAGTGTGGTTGTCCTTGTAAATGAGCATCCTGCATGAATTACAGTAAATAATTAGAATGGTTCTTTTCTTAATAAAAAATATTCCATCATTAGAAACAGACAAGGAATTTTGGCATAGGCTTCGCACTCATATCTACTAACACCTACTATTTACTACTTTTTTTACGTTATGCTACAGGAATTCAATTAATTTAGGATAGCATTTTCAAAAAAATTTCGAAAAAAATCAATTCTTCACAATAATTCAATTAGGTACTTTCATTAATAATAACATTTTTTATGGAAATTCAATTTTTTTAAAAAAATTTTGACAAAATATTAAGGAAGAATTCAATTATTTTCATAAATAATAAAATTGTCCACAGAAATTCAATTCTTTTTAAATATTTTAATAAAATTTTTCGCAATAATTAAATTATTTTCATAAATATTAAATGTCAAGAAATTTATCAAATTTATAGAAATTTATATTTTCAAATTTATTTATTATTATTTTTATTTTATTTAATAAAAAATTTATAATAATAATAATAATAATAATAATAATAATTTATAATAATTTTTATTTTTTTTTTTATTTTTTATTTATTTATTTTTTATTTTTTTTATTTATTTTTTTTTTATTTATTTATTTTTTTTTATTATTATTTTTTTTTATTATTTTATTTATTTAGTTTCAAATTTATATTTATCATACATTTATCCTCCACAAGTCAAATATTAAAAAATAAAAAAAAAAATATTTGAGTTGGAGGATTGATAAATTTCTTGACATTTAATATTATCTTTTACCGAATGATAAATTCTACTACTTAATATTTTCATAAATAGTAAAATTCTTCTCAGGAATTCAATTATTTTTGAAAATTTTAATAACTATTCAATAAATAATAATAAAAATAATAACTATTCATTAATAATAAAATTTATAGCAGGATTTCAATTATTTTTAATACAATTTTACAGGAATTGCTCAAAAAATGTAATTATTCTTAAAAATTTAATTTCAATTCCTCGAAAAAATCAATTATTTTATATACAATTTTAATTAAATTTTTTTGAAATAATTCAATTAATCTTTTAGATTTTAATAGAATTCTTCCCAAGAAATTAATTATTTACATAAATAATTCTTTAAAAGAATTTAATTATGTCGATTTATAACAAAATTATTTTCAAAAATTCAATTATTTTCAGGCATTTTAATACAATTCTTTGCAAAATTCAATTATTTTCATAAATAACAATATTTATCAGAAGAATCCAATTATTTTTATAAGTAATAAATTTCTTCTTGGAAATTCAATTATTTAAAAGAATTCTAATAAAATTATTGTTCACAAGAATTCAATTATTTTCATGAATAATAAAATGCTTTTTAGAAATTCAATTATTTTCAAAAAAATTTAATAAAATGCCACACAGTCATTCAACTATTGTCAAAAATTTTAATAGAATTCTTTGTAAAATTGAATTATTCTTAAAAACTTTTCGCAATTCAATGAGTTTCAATATCTACTATTTTCATAAAATTTCGAAACAGAATTCAATTATTTACAAAATTTTTTGTAAAAATCTTGGTAAGAATTCAATTCTTCTTATGAATAATAAAAGTTCATGAGGAATTCAATTATTTAAATTAGAATTTGCATAAAATTAGTCGAAAGAAATCAATTATTTAAAATTTTTTATAAAATTAAATTATTTTTATAAATATTTCAATTCTTTGATGAATAATAAAATTTGTTTGCAGGAATTCAATTTATCAGCAGGGTAAGAAAGAAGTTAATAATTTTGATGAAAATTAGGAAAAAGTCAGGAAAATAAAAAAAGAGGAATTTTTGTCAGTTTTGTGAAGTGTTCCAAACGAGTATTTTTTTTTTTTTTTTTTTTTTTTTTTTTTTTTTATTTATTTATTTTTTTTTTTGAGTATTTTTGGTCGTCAAGTTTAATTTTTCGATGGCTACATTTTTACTACTTTTTTTAGTTTGAAAGCTACTTTTTTAAAATTAATAATCGAGTGCGAAGTCTGTTGTCAGCATCGTTAAAAATACATTTAAGCTAAAAATTAATCAGTGAAAGTTTGAGAACAAGAAAATATAAACTTAATTTTCCCTAAAATAATGAATCCGAATTAAAAGCTTCTCAATATGTTTCTCATTAATCCCATATAATGCTATTTATCAAAACGCTGGTCGGTTTTGTGCGCTCGATGTTTATGGATGGAACTTCTTCATTTTAATTGAATGAAAAGCATAGGTATTAAAATAATAACTCACTTTGCCTTTGTGTTGTTCGCTATTAACCGATTATACCAAAGTTTCCCTTGAAAGTATGGCACTCGTAAGTCGTTGGTGCCTAGGAGAAGTAAAGTGGGAGCCTTGACTTTGTCAGCATGAATGATTGGTGAATGATTGAACATCTTCATGTACACTTCTGAATATTTTGTCTCCATTGTTGTTGGTGGTAATCTTTCGAGGAAAGGTGTTCCAGTTTCAGCTGCACACCTATAAATTTATGATTCTCTACAAATGTTAAACGCAATTTTTATTGTATGTTTAACCTTCTGCTGATGCTAACTTGTCCCCACTCCATCATCATAGATTTTTGACGATAATGGTCGTTTGCATCAGCAGAGGGTTAAACTACTTTTTGTATATTACAAATAAATGATATAATTCTTTTGTTATTACCAATCGGGGATATCAGATATAGTATACATAGCTGCGATATCAATCACGGGATTTCTTGAAACAACTGCTCTATACAGATCCTGTAAATTTTTGTAAAACTATTATATTCGTTTTCTATTTACTTATTTTAAAAAGATTTACGGATTATTATTATTATTATTATTATTATTATTAATTATTACAAAGTCGTAAAAAGGAGTTGCCATTATTGAACATAAATTTTAAAAATCTAAACAATTGCAACGATTTTCAATTACTTACTGGATATTGAGAGCAAAGATGAGCAACAATAAATCCTCCATAAGAACCTCCACTTAGTCCAATATAATTTGGATCAAGCCATGGGTACTTTTTCAAAGCATCGTGAGTGGCAGTGACGCAATCCAAAATATCTACTTCACCAATTCTACCTTGTAAGTACTCAACGGTATTTTTACCCATTCCTGTGGATCCTCTGTAATTCACTCGGACAATGCCAAAACCTGCGAAATATTGTATTTAAATATTTATATATGATTTTAAATGGAAGATTTATTACTCAAGTTTAAATATTGCCATGTATTATATTTTTATGAAGCATTTCTTCAAGACTTTTATATTTCTACATTCAAAACCACAAAATTTAAAATTGAGGCTCCAGATCTTAAAAGAGCACATGCAACATTGATTTTAAATGGTATATATGTTCCCTTTTAAGATCCGGAGCTTCAATTGTTCTTTTAAAAATTACGAAATAGCAAAAGCAACAGAATAAAACTTTTATTGACAAAATTATTAGATTTAGCTTTTGACTATATTAGAGGCATGTATGATTAAAAAATAAAATGAAAATGCTTACCCAAAATGGCTAAAATGCAAGCCTCAATAGAGAATTGATTGCTGTAGGAAGCGTGCGGTCCACCATGAAGCATAAGAATCCATGGCATTGTTTTATCTTCAGTACATTTTTTCCCAAAATATGTGTAATTAAATTCCTCTAAAACAGATTTGAATAATGTATTTATGTTTTTATTTACAGAAGTAAACGAGACAAGCCCCTTCGTACAGTTAGTACTCGTAAATATAATTGTCATTCTAAAATCAGCATAATATAATAAAATTAAATATATGTTAGACTAACATTATAACACAACTTTAACTATGGTATAATGCACCAATAGTGTATTATACGAGATAAAGTTTAGAATAAGTCTATTTTGTTGGTGTATACAGAACACTTAGTTTCTGTGCGAGTGTAACTTATACATGTCTGATTTTTTGTGATAAAATTGTTACAAATTTTCATGGTTCAATTATAAAAAAAAATTGAGCTCCAAAATTTAAGAGTAATAAATATTACTTCAGCATCGAAAATTTCCTGAAAGTTGAAATTGATTTAGCTATTAAAAATGAAAATATTGGTTTAAAATTTAAAATAGGGGACATTGAATTTAAAAAATTGACCAATTTTCACAAAATTTGGTATGTAAGGGTATTAAAGGCCTTAGATTACGAATTTTTTGCAAGTTTTTGGTTTGAAATAGAGTATAGCGCCAAAATAAATGATCATGATTATAGATTTGTCTTGGCTACATTCCAAAATCCGTCATTTTAAATTTTTGAAAACTGGCTATTAAATTCATAATCAGTAGTCTTTAAAACTCTTGGATACCAAATTTTATGAGAATTGATCAATTTTTCAAATTCAATGTCTGTCATATTTTGAATTTAAAAAATATCTTAATTTTTTTATGGTTGAATCAAAACTAATTGTTGGAGACCTCATAGAAGTTTAAAAATCCAGTGTTTCTTCTTTTTTCACAGAAAAGTAATATTTATAACAACGATTTGTGTCGGTTACTCATTCTTATTTTGTTTGGATTTTAAAATTTTCAAAAGTTTCATAAAAATTTATTAATGATTTCCTTGCAAAGTTTTGTGATAATTGTGTAAAAATTTAAATGTTCCACTTCAATAATTATTTAGCGTGAAACTTTCCTAAACATCTAAATTAAATTTTCGTCTAAATCTATTTAAGGAGAAAATGTAATTTAAGTATTTAGAATGTTTCACGCTAAATTTAAAATTTTCAAGAAAGTTTGACGATAAATAAATAAATAAATAAACATATATTGAAGTCGGACATTTAAATCTTTACAGAATTGTCACTAAACTTTGCAAGAAAATCTTTAATAAATTTTTATGAAAGTTTCGGTGCTGTATGGGATACAAGTGCCTTAACTTACCTGGTGGATACCTTGCAAAACTAATAAAATAATGAAAAGTACGGAAACAATAATTTTTTTTTAAACAGGGTTAAATAAGTTCCATCAATCATTATCAACATTGCCCAACCTGTATCGACAATTGTCCACAGATGCTTTAAATACTCACTGACTGCTTCCTTAGAATTATACTCATAATCTGTATTTTCAATAATAAGATTTTCCATTCCCTCTGGCATCACTAGAGGTTTTGTAATTTCAAGCAAATGTAAATTTGGAAGTTCGGCAGCCTCAACTGCAGGATCGAATCTTCCCACAACTAACCGGGGTGGTTCAACGAGAGATGTTCTCATCAAAACAATTCTATTTTTTCTTACGTCAAGAATAAATAAACTGCTGTCGTCATTTTGAATCTCAATAATATTTTTCGTTTCTGCAGAGCAACAAATTTCATTACAGTATTGTTATTTTTATTACGAGAATTCCAAGATTTATAACTTACCAAGATTAACCATATAAGATTTTATGCTGTATCTTTGAGGAGAACTCAAGAAAACATACAGAGAATCGTTACTAAAGCAACGACGAGGTAAACTCTTAGTATATATTCCATAGAATTTTTTCTCATGGGCGATCGTTAGGCAATCAGGAACAACATCGATAAGTGCATCTGTCTAAAAGGAAATATAAGCAATTATGTTTCGAACTAAAACATTGTTGTAATGGGGTTGATAAATGTTTTTATTTTCTGACTTTTTAATATTTGTAATTTTGTATTCTTACTTTTTCATCTGTCTCCCACTTCACGCGCATTAATCTGTGACACGAATGATGTGTACTTCCCAAATCTCGCTCCAACCATACAAGGGTTTTTCCATCCGGACTGAATCGTGGAGAACGTGCAGCACAATTATCGGTTGATATTTTTCCTTACATTTAAATAAGAATTAAAAATTAAATGAAGAGTTAAGAATTCTTCTTAATTACCAATTTTCCCCTTGTCATATAAATTACACAACAGAATAAAGAATTTTCTGGTCAAAACTCGTTTTCATAGATTTTTGTTTTAGATTATGTAAAAGGAATGTTTTTATCAGATCTTGGTTACGGTAAAATCGAATTTCAAGTTCTATGCTTTTCTGTTTGAATTGCTGAACATTCCTCAAAATTATTATTTTACTTCTAAAATAATCGCTAATAGTTTCTATAAATAATATTTATTAAAGCAACAATTTTTCTTACGGAATTCTGATGTTTTCAAAAGAAAAACCCAACTTGCTCTGTTTGTACAGGCATATAGTCCCAAATATCTTGCTTCGCATTTCCAAGCTACACCAACTAAATATTCGCCATTTGGAGTCCAAGTCACTTGTCCAATGAAATAATCTTCAGGAATAAATTGATTAATTTTTATTGTATCCTCGGCTATGTCAAGAACTACAACCACTGATTTGTGTTTGCCAACTAACTGTTCACCCCAGTGCGGTTTGTAAACATATTCATTTCCCTGAAAAATTAATTTTTATATATGAAAAAATCAGGTTTTCCAGCATCAAATTCTTTTAAAACAGGAAAAATCTTTAAATATTACCTTCATAAAAAATCATTTATAAATTGTTATAAAAAAATGTAAAAACATCCGTTGTCCTACGTGTAAAAGAATGGTTAGTGGGTTGGGATGTAAGACCATATGAATAGAGTACCTTTAATATTACTTCCATATCATAAATTTCTTTTTCTATCTTTTCACGGGTTTTTTGTTTGTAGAAAGGTTCGCATTTTGGCAATTTTCGCTCAGCAATGTAGAGTAATTTCGACTTATCAGGAGAAAATTGAAATGAACTGAACTCAGCTATGCAGAAACAGTTAAGTATGATCATGCACAAAAAAATAATTAAAAGATAATAGAACTAATTAATTTCAGTTTAGAAATTTTACCATCAGTGTATATTTCTCCATGTGCATCATATACGGATAGGTCATAATTTTTCACCAAATGTTGTCTGTCCCAAATTTCGATAAATTGTTTAGAAGTGTTGTCCACTGTAACCTGTCTTAAAATTGCTTTATATTGTTCATCTTCCGAGCAAGTACTCAGAATTCTGAAAAATTTGAAAATTATTCACATTAATATAATTTTATATTATTCACATTAACATAATTTTATAATTTAATATTATTATAACGTATTAATGTACGTTTAGTGTAAAAATACATACTCAGTGGAGATATCAACAGGAAAACTTTCGACCAGGGGATTTAATTCCGCATCAAGACTAAAATCCTGTATAAATTTTTGTTTTGAGCGTCTTTCCAAGTTCTTCTGAGCCCAGTGACTCTGAATAGTAATTCCATTTCTTGCAATTGACGTGATTCTGGCTTTAATTATTGTTGGATTTTGCGAAAGAGTCTTATATATATCCAGAATCTTGTCAGTCTTGTAAAGAATTATAAAAGTTTTTAAACAATCAAAATATACACACAATTTATATGAAGATAATACAAAAACATTTGGCCAGTATTTTATTTAGATATTTTTAAAAAATCCTCATTTTGAATATTTTAGAAAAATTGGAATAACTTTTAAAATAATGAACGCTTTTTAATGATCTTGGGCTTATTTTAAAGATCATTTTTTACAGTATGAGAATTTCTTATAGGCATTAACGTGCAATTTTTTTCTTACAAAATGCAGGTCGTCAAACTTGGACTAAAAATATTCAAAGAATTTGAAACAATCTTATTAACAGAAAAATAATTTTTAAAATTCAAACATATATTTTTTTCATTGAACTCTCTTGAAAAATCTACATCATATCATGTTTTATAAATTTTCTAGAATAGTTTTTAGTACAAAAAAATTATTTCAAATTTTTTCAAGTTTTTTGGTCTAAGTTTGACGACCTGCATTTTCTAAGAAAAAAATTACACGTTAATGCATATACAAATATAAGTAATTCTCATTCTTTAAAAAATGACCTTTAAAATAAGTCTAAGATCATTAAAAAGCGTTCATTATTTTAGAAGTTATTCCAATTTTTGTAAAACATTCAAAATGAGAATTTTTTAAAAATATCTAAATAAAATATTGGCCAAATGATGATGATTGATTTCTGACAGATCTTATTCTTTTTAAAATATTTATTTTGAAAATAAATATTTAATCATTATTATTTTCGATAGGAATTAAGATTTTCAAAAATGTCAAATTCAAACTTTTAGTAATTCAAAAACATGAAGATGACAGAGTGATAAAATAATTATTTTTTAATATAAGTAAATTGTTACTGTAACTTATTCTTCAAAATTATATTTATCATTTCAATTCAATTATTCTTTTCTACAATTTTCAAATAAAATTTATTCTTCTTTAAATCAATTATTTTTAATAATAATTTTTGACAAAGTTCTTTAAGAATTTTCAAATCCATTTGTTTTTAATAAAATTTCACGAGTTTTCGATTATTCAGAAATTTATCAGTTAAAATATATATTAGAAAATAAAAACTTCAAATAACTTAAAAAAAATTCAATTCGAACTTTTTTAAAAAAATTAAGTCTACAGAATTCTTAGTTAAAAGTATGAAAAATCCAGATTTCCAAAGATTTTAATTTTTACACATTTTCAATATTTAATTATTTCTAAAAATTCATGCTATAATTATGCTTTTAATATTTAATTATTATTTAAAATTTTAACTAAAATTCATTTTTTAATCGCAATGTTTATTAGAAAATCAAAATTAAATTTCTACCCTGAATTTAATTATTTAAATACAATAATAAATAATTTATTGAATAATAAAATTCATACGACGAATTTTAATAAAATTTCTAAAAATAATTACATTTTTCGAAGAATTCAATTAAAATTGTATAAAAAATAATTGAAATTCTACGATGAGTTTTAATATTTATGAACATAATTAAATTCCTAAGAAGAATTTTATTATATTTATGAAAATAATTGAATTAAGGCGAAGAAATTCATAAAAAAATGCATAAATCATTGAATTCTTGTGTAATTTTTATTATTAATTTATGAAAATAACTAAATGGTTGCGTAGAATGTTACCAAAAAATTTTTTTTTAATAATTTAATTCTTTTGCAAAATTTTATTAACTTAGTAGATATTGAAAATCATTGAATTGAAATTTTGCCAAAAATTTTATTAAAATTTTTGAAAATAATTGAATTTTGGAGAAGAATTTTGTGCTTTACAAAGATAATTGAATTTTTTAAGAGCAGAATTTAAAAATTTTTTTGAACATAATTGAATTTCTGCGAAGAATATTTTATTATACTTTTGAAAATAATAGAATTTCTGCAATTATTTGTAACTTCTCCAAAATTTAATTTTTTTGTGTTTTTAACTAAAATTGTTCTATATGTAATCCATTATTTTTAATAATTAATTAAATACATATTGAAGATTTTAACTAATTTCAGAAGAATTTGAATTATTAAATTTTTCAAAAATCGAAGTTTATTAATTTTATAAAATTTTAAATTAAAACCTTTTGAAGTTCATCTATTTATGAAAATTTCAAATGTAGCTCTTTTAAAATTCAATGAAAAGTTTCTGAGGCAAACAAAAAAGACACCAAAATTCAGAATTTTCTTATGAATTCTAAAAATTTAATTTTTTTTTCAATTACTTTTAACAAAAATCCCTGACTTTTTTCCTGAAATGTAAACCCTACAGAAAGTTTTGGAGATTTTTCATTTTGTGATTTTAGCGATAATACAATTCTAGTTTTTTTCATGAATAATATATTATTCATGAAAAAACAATTAACTGGAAACCTTATTAAATTGTTTGCTTTTAAAAATAAATGTATAACAATACCTTTTTGTGTTGAAATATGAACGACTTTAAATTTTGAGTATTTTTAATGGGTTAAATTTTTACGTGAACGATAAATATTATTTCTAAACGCTAAAAATATACTCTAAATGAAACATTTAAAAACCTTAAACATACAATTTTTTAACAAATTCTATTATTAAAATAATCGACCTGAATTTATCTAAAGTTTTAGTAGTTCGTTATTAATTTTGTCGTTTTAAATAATGAATTTTTAACAAAAACATTTGTGTTAGAAGTTTTTAATTAAAATTCTTTTAGCACTAAAGGAGAATGATTCACATGAAAAATTACGATTTTTAAATTTATTCTTAACATAATTAGTCTATAAATAAAATGTGTGCTTGCAATTTAAAAATCTTTATATTTATGATTTATTTTATTTTAAATCATTTTAATGTTAAAAATTCTTTTGGTATGTTCTGTATTGAAGAAAATTTGTTTGCAGAAAATGTGTTTGAAAAATTTTTTTTAAATAAAAATGGATAAAAATATAAATTTTTGAGAAAATGAAACATTAAAACTGATGGATTGGAAAGAATAAACCTTGTTCATATTTATATTAATAAAAAATAGAAGATATAGAAAGTTCCTCACCTGACTTTCTGCCATCGTTACACCCAATTTTTTTTTATTGAAGTAACATGAGACTGTTCAATCGAACAATTTAAATAAACTTGATGAAAATATCCTATTATCTGAAAAGAAAAATGTTCTTAAATTTATAATACACAGACACTGACACTTGTCTATTTAATTTACAATATTCAATTTCAACTAATTTAATTTTAAAAACTTAAATTTATTTAAATAAAAAAAACACAATAGTCTGCATGAATTTGAAAACTTTAAAAGACCTGGCACCAATCACTCCTGATGACTGAAAACTATTTTAATAGAGATTGAAAGGAGAGAAAAAAAATTTTAGAGAAATTTTGAGTGTCTGAGGTGTGCCTTAATTCTGTTTGGTAAACTCGATTGTATCAGACACCTTTAGATTTATCAGTGACTTCAACACCAGCAGCAATTTTCCATCATCATCTATTGACTGATGCGAGCAGGTCAAGATCAAAGAGATCAAAAATAAACCACCGTAATCGCAATCTTGAGATAACATTGGCCGTTTTTTTCTGGCACAGCATGTTTGCGAAGCGACAAGTCGGTGAAGAAAACACCTGATCGGATATATTTGACATTCGTCATCAAAGGCTACACGTGATATTATTTTCTATGCACAAGAAAGCTACAAGTTGTAGGGATACCTATTTTCAACTTCTAATTTTGCTATTAAAGTTTTAAAATATTTTTTCAAAACAATAGACATTAACAAAATTTTGTTTTCAAAAATGAATTTCTTGTTCAACGCAATACAATAAAAAAAATTAAACCATTGGGTGAAGAATGATTTGGAACTACTTCAGATAAAGTTTAAGAAACGAGAATATTATCCTTAAATATATTACCAAGATTTTTAAAAATATACATTTTTCCAGTACTCAGCTGAAAATGTAATGATATAATAAAAGTGCTTTAAGATTTAAAGAACGAAACAAAAATAATTGTCAACATTATTTTTAACATTGTAAATGTAGCTTTTTCTTAAAAATGTTATAAAAAAATTAATATATACCCATTTAAATTCGCAGTACATTTAGTCTTAAAATGTGTGGAAATAAATTTTTTCACGAATTCGTATGTCTAACGGGTTTTTCAAAAGCTACAATTATGAACTGTTACTCTGTGTCAATATGAATAAGATTTATTTACTTTTCAGTAGAATATCTTTTTTCCTGAGTAACTTCCAATATATTTTTAAAACATTAGGTAAAGTTTTACAAAAATATACATGTTTTTTACAATGAGTAGAATTATTTTAAACAAGAGTGATTGTTTTTAATTATATAGAAGAGGATCATTCAGCTCCATGTCTTTGTATAAATATCTGAACCTTTCTAAAACTTCATATAAAATAAAATCATTGCTAAGTTAAAGCTGAAATTTTTGTATATATTTTGCTAATACTTTGCTTCTTCATGAAAATTTTCATTTTATAAAAAATATTACGTATGCACTTTTTATATACATTATTACAATTTAATAACAAGAAGACCACAAAAAGTCAATTTTTAAAAAATTTTAATACATAGGGGAGACAGGGGTAAATTCGGTCACTTAATTTTTTCAAGACGAAAAAGTTATATTTTTTAAATATTAAAATTCGTCTTATTCCCATCTTAAGTATGATTTATTATTAATAAACTATGAGTTCTATAAACAATAAATATTGGTTTAAAAAATAATAAATAATACAGGTTTCATGAATTACAACTAATATGGATTTAAATATTTATATTTTATTGAGTGAAAGTAAAATGTGGTTACAATTTTGGATTTAACAAGTTATAAATTTTACTATTGTTAAAGTATAATACGTGAAATTATTTTATTCGAAATTTTAAATTTAAAACTAAGTGACCGACTTTACCCCGAATGTATTCCTCGCCGTTCAGAATAAATTTAAATAGTTCTTTTTGAAATCAAACAAAACTATAAATGTATTTCGAAAAAGGACATTCAAGTGCATCAAAAAGACTTACCTAAATAAATTAAGACTCAAAAAACTTAAAAATTCAAAGAACGTTTTTTTCTGACACCTCTAGAAACATTGGACCGCCTCTGACTCCATGTTGAATTCATCCCAGGTAAAAATGATTCGTACGGTTTTCGTGCGAATTTCGTTTAGAAATCCGGCCAGATTCGTACAGAATTCCTATTGAATTCGTATGAAATTACTATAGTGAAATTCATGTGGCGTTTTGAAACGTTTTTTCTTTTGACAATTTCTTCAAAAATTTTCGGACAAATTTCCTTACGAATTTCGTACGAAATTCAATCGAATTATGCAAGGATTTATTTTGAAATTTTTTTATAAAATTCTGTTCAGAAATTCGTATGGAATTCCGCACGAAATGGAAGCTAAAAATTTCCTCAAAAGTTTTCGTCGAAATTTCCATACGAAATTCGTATGAAATTCGAGCGAATTATGAACTGATTTATTTTGAAATTTTTTTTATAAAATTCTGCTCAGAAATTTGTATGGAATTCCGCACGAAATGAAAGCTAAAAATTTTGCTATGTATATAAAAATAATTGAATTCTTGACGAGATATTCATTAAAATTTATAAAAATAACTGAATTCGTGCAAAGTAGGTATATTTATTAAATTTTGCCAAGAATTTAATTAAAATTTTTGACAATATAATTGAATTCTTGAGAAGAATTTTAATACATATTTATCAAAATAATTGAATTTTAGGAAAAGAATTTCACTAAAAATCCTTAAAATAATTGATTTTATGGGGAGAATTTTGCTAAATTGAATTCTTTTGCAGAATTACTTAAAAATTATTGAAAATAATTGATTTCCTGCGACGAAAAAAATATAGGTGAAATTTTAGGGGAAATTTTCAAAATAGGGTACGTTTAGGGGCCAAAATTAAAAAAAGGGGACAGACTGTGAAGCCTAGACAATAAAAACAATTGATTCCTTTATAAACAAAAAGTACGTTTTAATAGATTTACATTTATACAGTATTTATCGTTCTTGAACCATTTTTCTAATTGAAAATTCCTAAAATGAATATTTCAAATTTTTCTATATTGTAATATATTTTGATTTCTTTAAATATTTACTAGTTTAATTTTAGACAGAATAACAAACAATACAATGCATGGCTTCAAATATTTAAAGGCTTAAAAATCAAAAACTCAACAATTTAAATTTTTTTTGCATATAACTTTGATATGGATGTCTTTCAGGTCAACAATAAAGATTTTTTGTTAGAATCATGTGTTTATTTCACTAAAAAATATTTATTCGAACAGAATAGACTTGACAATATTTTCAAAAACTGTTAAAATAAAAAAATATTGAAATTATTTTTTCAAATAAATTGTTCCATGTTCGTCAAAAGTGGTTTGAGTTTAAATTGACGGCCATATGTGACCGGGTCTGAGAAAAGGGACCTACTTACTAAAAAATCGATTTTTTTTATGATGGTTTCTTATAGTTTAAGGTCTTAGAAATACAATGCAATCAGTCCAGATTGTTAAAACAATTTTTTTGCAATTGTTTAAACAAATTTAAAAAAAAATTTTTTTTTAAATTTTTTTTATGAAAATATATTAAAAGTAATTTTAAGACAAAAATTACTCTTGGTTGTCTAAGTGTCAAGAATATATCCCCTAAATCTTAAATTGAATGCCTAAACCATTTACAAAAAATTCGACTTAATTCCTCGAAGATGATCCCCAAGTATACCCCGTCATCGGCAACCTGGTTGTGCAAGTCAAAAAATAACTATGGATTATTGTAGAGTTCAGAATTATTCATTATTGTATCAGTTCTGAACTTGCATAAAAAATTTCAGACCTCTAGGACATCCGGAAGTCTTTTAAATTAATTTTGAAAATTCCATAATTTGACTTTTGCAAAATAAATTTTTTATAACAATTACAGGGTTGTTTGAACAATTATTTAACCATGAAAATCGGATTCAGCATAAAAATAGCATAATAAATAGAAAATTACCACACAAATTAAGAATTTTTACTTCCACTCAACAACTAGTAGTTTTCTTGGTTACCATGTCAACTGTTGCTATGACAACCATTACCATAGCAACCGTTGCTATGGTAACATAACAATTACCATACTAATTATAAGGGTCGGCCCTTGGCCACGAAACCCTAAAAAGACCAAGAAAATAATACTTTATAAGGTTTATAAAAATGAACATATTTAGAACAAAGAATGCTTTTATTATCTCTTCTAAACTTAAATAAATATTTACAAGTTTACTTTAATAGTAGGTAATAACATAACATAAATAAGACATAATAGTCCTACATAGCATCAATGATGTATACATATTATAAATGGAAAATTCCACATGACAAACATCATTTTACAAATCAGTTCTGGAAAAAATTAATTCTAACTTGAGTTATGAGAAACATAGTGAAATAATTTTCCAAGTCAAATGTAATTTGTCTACATAAAAAAAAGCTTTTAATTAACACACGTTATATTCTTATTATTGCGATTAAGTATTTTAATGTCAAAAAAAGAAACTTTTAAATAAATGAAATGTACAAATAAATAATGTTAAAAATGTGTCCTGAATATTGTGAGTTTTTAGTTTTAAAAAATTGAAATGAATAATTAGGTACTTGGCAATAATTGAGTACTTCACTTTGGTTGTTTCTTGAAGTCGAGAACTGCATTGACTGAATTAGTGTATGAATAATTTTTTATGTAAAAACAAATTAATTTCTAGCGAATACTCTTCACTTGCACATGACTGATAGAAAGGAGTTTTATAAAAAATATTAGGCAACGCGTGTTGTGTTAAAATTTTTTAAATTTGTAGTTTTTAGGAATGTTGAATGTTTCTTATAGAACATTTTTAAAATAGTTCTTTATGCAAGTGGTGAGTATTCGCACGGTTAATTCTTTAATTACCTATGCAGAGCTAGAATAATGTATAACGTTAAATGAATAATTAAACAGCGTTGCATTCTACAAATAGTGATCTACAGTCTTCACCAGATCGTCCACGTCTGCCGGCTGCATAGAGTGCGTCAAAACCGATACCACTTTGTCTTTGAAGAAGATAACTCGTTGCATATCTGAAATTAAGTAAATAAATGTGAAAAAACATTTGTATATTAATAATAATATAAATAATAATATAAATAAATATTGTATATTAATAATAAGTAAACAAGGAAAATGGTTTTCGATAATAGGTTTTTTTTAAAATAAAAAATGTCTTTTTTACTTACGATCCTAATTGACAAAAGATAGAACTTGTTCCTTGTGCGTTCGCAATACATTCAGCACTGGCCTCGCATAATGCTCGTTCAGCACATCCTCGTTGTCCTTCTTCTTCAGCTACTGCCAAATTTCCAAATGACTTCATAGATTTTACGTAACCCTTAAATAGAAGAAAATCATTTATTTTTAGACTAAAACTATGTATAATGGTGATTTACATAATTGACCATTAAAATATTTCTACTAAAAAAAAATCTTTAACCTATTAAAATATTTTATTCTGTTAATCATTCATTATAACTTCATTCCTAGTAACTACGGAATGATTTTTTTTAATAATTAAATTATTATTGAGAGAATAAATTTATAACTTTTTATCATTTAATTACATTAATTATATATTACACAGGTTTACAAATTCAAAGCTTTCTTTGCCAATCAAAAAAAAATTAAAAGCAAAACTACCTAAATTACCTTTCGATTCATTGGTCATAGAATACAATTTGACAAAAATTGAGAAAGTCATACAATCGATTAAAAATCAAATTTTAGGAAAATTTTGATGATTTTAAGACATTTGAGGAACTTTTGCTAATTTTTTCCACATGAAAAAGTAAAAAAAATGTTTAGGTTTTAAATTTTGATTGATAGTCTATTTCATTACGAAAATTTTGAGCCAAATAAGAGAACATTGTACTTAAAAATATAAATGAAATTTAATGCCCGAGTGTCTAAAAATCATGAAAATTTACTCAAAAAACATATACATACCTAATCGAAAAAAATGTTTTTTTCGATTGGCAATTTCACTGTAAAGTGTAAAAAGTAAAAGATTAGAAAATAATAAGTAAAAATTTGATTACTTTTAACATTGAGATGGATGCTACTGCTGCCTCGGATACGGTGTCCCTTTTTCCAATTGAGCGAGCACTTAATGAACGATGTGAAAACGATGTTTTTAGTGCGTCCAAAAGATTCAGGACAATACTTATGAACTGCTTAACATGCAAAGAGGTTTATTAAGGAAATTAATATTGTTTTCTAAAGAAATATTTAACTAATTGTTTTTAAATATGAGAGAATGCGAAATTCATTTTACATACCTGCATTGGACTACTTTGATTGTCAACTTTATCAATTCCGTCGACAGTTTGTTGTGGACCACCTAAAATGGCAGTTAGAACTCTCAAACCAACTGATAGAAGATTCGCCCATGGACTAGGAGTGACTTCATCAATTTCGTTCTTACTGGGACCAGTTATTCCAGACGTTTGGCCTAGCAACATTTGCATTAGCATGCTAAGCATGTTCGACCAGGAAAATCCTGTATTTCCACCTTCCTGAAATCAAAAAGTATTACATGTCGTACAAATTTTTCATCACTGAAGCCAAATTTTGGTCATGTCTGATACAAAAAAGGGGGAGGTGATTCTTACAGATTTTTTGACGTTGAATCCGAATCTGACCTCAAAAATGACCCATTCTCTTTCAAAAAAATCTATAAAAATCATCTCCCCTTTTTTTGTAACAGACATGACCAAAATTTTGCGGGCCTATGTAATTTTTCAAAAAAAAATTGTAATACCTGAATCTGATTTGTGCTGATTTCTTCAATGTCATCCAGTCCAACTTTCTTTAATGAATTTGGTTTTTCAGCAAATTTACGAGAGTCGACTGCTTTTTGTTGGTAGTGATCAACATGTTGAGGAAGTGAGAAAGCTTGCCCAAAAATGAGTAGGCACGAACAAAGCGATAAAAATTGGTAATACTTCATCCTGCAATTCATTTCATTGCAATATATCATAATTTATTATACAAAGAAAAAAATTCATTATATTGACTATTATTTACATCCAGGCTTCGCACTCATTTACTAAACCTACTTTTTACTACTTTTTTACGTTATGCTATTATTTGGGTACTTTTTCAGATTTCAGCCACTAAAAGCAACTATTTCACTTTTTATTTGAGAATTTCCACTACTTTAAATTCGCTAATACTAGAAATCAAAAAACTGTTCTCAAACATTATAATCAAATTATATTTTCAAAAAATATTCGAAATTCAATTATTTTCAATATCTAGTATTTCATAAAATTTCGCAACAGAATTCAATTATTTAAAAAAAAATTGATAAAATTCATCCAAAATTCAATTATTTTCATAAATAATAAAATTACCACTGGAATTCAATTAATTTAGAACTTAACATTTTCCAAAAAATTTCGAAAAAATTTAACAAAATTTTTATATAATTTCTTCACAATAATTCATTTACTTTCACTAATAATAACATTTTTCATGGAAATTCAATTTTTTAAAAAAATTTTTGATAAAATAATTCTAAGCAAGAATTCAATTATTTCCATAAATAATAAAACTCATCGAAGAATTTCAATTATTTTTAATACTATATCTAATAGAAAAATGCATTATATCTACAAATAAAGTTTTTCACAAGAATTCAATTATTTAAAATAAAACTTCCATAATATTTATTATATCTTGAAATAATTAATTATTTAAAACAATGTTTATAAAATTCGTATAATGAATTCAATTATTTTCCAAAATAACAAAATTTTTTACTGAAATTCAATTAATTTTCTAATATTTTAATAAAATTTTTCACAATAATTTAATTATTATCATAATAATAAAATTCTTCTCAGGAATTCAATTATTTTTATAAATAATAAAATTACCACAGGAATTCAATTATTTTCAAATATTTGAATAGAATTGTTCGAAAGAAATCAGTTATTTTAAATACAATTTTAATTACATTTTATTGAATTAATTGTAATTATTCTAGATTTTAATAAAATTCTTCCCAAGAATTCAATTGTGTCGAAAATAACAAAATTATTCCCGAAAATTCAATTAATTTGAGGCATTTTCATAAAATTCTTTGCAAAATTCAATTATTTTCATAAATAACAATATTCATCACAAAAATTCAATTATTTTTAAAATTCTAATAAAATCTTTCGCAAGAATTCAATTATTTTCATAAATAGTTCAATTATTTTTGAAAATTTTATTAAAATTCTTTGTCAAATTTAAAAATTATTTTTAAAAACTTTTCGCAATTCAAAGATTTTTAATATCTACTATTTTCATAAAATTTCCAAATAGAATTCAATTATTTAAAAAGTTTTTTGTAAAAATCTTCGTAAGAATTCAATTCTTTTCATGAATAATAAAAATATCGCAGGAATTCAATTATTTAAATTAAAAGTTGCATAAAATTAGTCGAAATAAATGAATTATTAAAATTTTTTTTATCAAATTATTGACGAGAATTAAATTATTTTTATAATTATTTAAATTCTTTAATGTATAATAAAATTCGTTGCAGGAATTCAATTTATTGTCAGGATAAGGAAGAAGTAAATATTTTTGATGAAAATTAGGAAAAAGTCAGGAAAATAAAAAATATGGAATGTAATTCTTGTCAGTTTTGCGAAGTGTCTAAAACGAGTGTTTTTGGTGGTCAAGTTTAATTTTTCGATAGCTTCTTTTCACTACTTCTTTTTAGTTTGAAAGCTACTTTTTGCCACTTTTTTAAAATTAATTATCGAGTGCGAAGTCTGTACATTGGATACTTAACTGGAACAAGATAAATAATATTTAGAAGAAGCGGAACGTAAGCGTCGTAAATGGGTGTAAATAAGAATGAAAAAGAAATCTTAATTTTTTATCATATTTATTTATCACACAACTGCATCTACGTACCACTTTTCTTTGTTTCGAAACTTATTAAAAAATTATAACATTTTTCTTAAAACAAGAAAGGAACAGAATGTACTAAGCGATATTTAAAGTTTTTCTTTTCACTGTTAAAGAAATTTTCGTCTGTAAACTGCAGAGGCTTTTTATCATCATCAATTACTGCAAAGAAAGGCCTCAGATTTTTAAGAAGAGTGGGGATTCTTTACACGACTTTCCAAGTAGCACGTAATTTACAGCCATATTAAAATATACGCTGATGATAATATTATCGGGAATGTTACCGTATTATTACAGATTTTTTGACATTACAGTAATTTGGCATTGGCACTTTTTACTCCTTGTCATTACTTTTATTTACTAACAAATATTGCGGATTTTACAAAAAATTATTCCTTGTATGAAAAAAAATTTTTTTTTAATTTTTATAAACAAACAACAAATTTTAGAAAATGTTTATTAAAAATAAGCCTTGATAAATCTATTCACTATTTTAATAAGTTTTAATGTGTAAAAAAAGAATTATTAAACGTTAAAAATTGAAACCCCAAAAGTTCAAAGTCGTTTTTTCCAAAGGCTGTATAATTAGTTTCAAATTCAAAAATTTTTATTTTCACGAATAATTATTTGTAAGAATTTTTATAACGAAGAAATATTTTATCGCAATTTTAAAAATTGACCAATCGCAATATCTTTAATAGTTTCTGATTCGTCAATTTTAAAATTAACGCTGAAATATTTCCGCCATTTGCAATTTCGTACAGAGAATTTTTATAACGAAGAATGTTTCGTTATAAAAATTCTTACAAATAACTATTTATGAAAATAATAATTCGACAAAATAGAAATTCTGGAATTTGGAATTTTGTCTAATTTAACATTCCGTTAATTAGGAATTTTTCTGTATAAAAATTTATTTAAACAAAAATCTTCTATAAATAAAAAAGGGGTTAAATAAAAATTTGTTAAGAAGAAATTTAAGTTAATTTAAATTTGGTTAAAGAAAAATTTTACAAAAAGAAAATTCTGTCAAATAGTTTTCGAACACCGTAAAATATATATTAACATTCATAGGCCTCTATAATTTATTAAAATCTCAAAAAATATAGAAGATAAATTATTCAAAATTTTTCTAAAAAAAAATTAGAGAAGTTCTTAGTATTGGTATTGTTCTCTCATTTTCAAAGTTTAACCAAAATTAATGAATTAATTTATCAATAGGGAAGAAAGGATACTTTCCAAAATATTAGTTCAATTAAGTATTTTTTAAAATAAAAATAAAATATTCCGAACTTTATTTGCAATATTTCTGAATAGTTAGTGAAAGTTATCGAATTTGTCAGGAAAAATAATTTTCCATTAAAATTGTTCGGGAATATTCCAGAAATATTTTTACATTGCACGATCGATTGAACATGATTTATTTTATGCACATTTTACATTATATATTAAATTCTGCGTAAATAATCGGAATTTTACCATAATCAAACTGTTTTGAATTTTTCATAAATTTCATTACATATAATAGTTTAAATGGTTTAAATGAAAGTAATTTTTTATATTATTGATACGTAAAGTAATATTTAAATAATTTTTTTTTATTTAAAAAAGGACGTTTTAGAAACAAATTAAAATCAAATTACTCACTTAATACATTATACGATAGAAAACATACATAATTTTTCTCCTTAAAGTAATATAGTGACAGTGGGTCATGACCGCATTTTAAAGTAACGGTTTTTACGAAGTTCAAGAGCCTTTAGATTCAAAAGTAGGCTAATGGGAGTCATAGTAAGATCACTGTTAACCGCCATATTATGGAAAACTTATTTATAATATTAAACATAAATATTTGCAAAAAAAAAAATTTTTTTAATATAAAAATAATGATATAAAGTGTTCTAGTATTGATAGTTTAATATTAATTAGTTTCATTCAATTTTCTTCGGAACTAATTAGTTAGAAATTAATTCAAACGCAATTATTATACATTATTATTCTTATTTATATTTTCATTGATTTATTGTTTTTCTCTTGTTTTTTTTATATTGTGATTGTTTTTTTTATATAATGTTATTTTAAATTTGATGACTTTTTAACGATACACGAAACTTTTAAATATGTAATTTTAATATGTCTTCTATAAGACTAAATAAATAAATAAATAAAGACTTGACAATAAATTAAAAAAAGAATTTTAACAGCTTTTTCACTTAATATAACAATTGAATTTCTTCGTTAAAAAAATTATTTAATTGTTATATTAATTTTCAATTTTTGTTGTTATATAAGGGCCATATGAAAATATAATATAAAAAAGTAATATAAAATTATAGTAACAATATTAAACGCAGTATAATTAACATTTTTAATTAATAATTTATTATTAGTTAATTTATCATCGAGTATCTAAATATTTCAGCGTATTTTAGTTTTTAAAAGAGTAGAAACTATGTTAAAAAATTATATAAAAAATCAGAATTTAATTAATAACCATTAATTTATTATAAGAAATAAAAAAAATTTTTTAAAAATTTAAAAAAGTTAAGCGGTTCAAGAAAATTATTTGAAAAATTGTTGAATTAAAATTCGAATGAGACAGAAAGAAAAAGTATAAATTACCAAATGAAATATTATAAAAAAAATAATAATTAATAATAATAAAAAATATTCATAAAAATTAATAATTGTTGCCATAAGTTTAATATGAAATTGCCTTCGAATATAAATTTATTAAATAAAACTTTGAATTAGAAGGGAGTAAAAATTTCTATCATGTATGCAGGTTCGGTTATAAATTTAAAAATTAATAAAATTTAAATAACTGAATTGTGATATCTATCATCATTATATGTTATATTTTATTTGAATTATATAATAATAATATTAATATTTGAATAATTATAAATAATATTAGTAAAATTGTTTTGTACTCACTTATGAGTATTCAAGGTAGATTTCCTTGACACTGACTTTTAGTTCTGAAGATGAAATTCTTAACGGTGTCGGCTATATAGCCTTTGCTGTTTGTGGGGGAAAACCGTTGCACCAATACAGAGACACTTTTGTCACAACTATATAAGTGGAGTAAGTAAGTCTTAAATAAAGCACTTATCCAGTTTCCGAAAATATCAAATTATTTGACAAAAATGTTCGATTTTTTTAAATTTAATAATCAAACAGTTGAATAGGAATATAGTAATAAAAGTTGAAAGAATTAAAACTAAAAAGAATTATTAAACATTAGTTGTTAGAAAAATTTGCACTAATTACAATCAAAGGCACTGAAGACATTATTGGAATCATACGCTATTTTGATTAAATTATTTGCATTATTCGAAATTTTTAAATATTCTAAAGGACAGACCATTAAAATTAAAAAAAAAAAAAACAAGACCGCAAATTAAGCAGAAAATATCTGCAGCTTTTGGTGGTTTAAATATTTCGTTAATATTTTATTAATTATCTCAATAGCTGGAATCTGACCACACCATCGCTACCATAAAGTAAAAATTATTAAAAATTAGTTACATAACTGCTACAAATTAATTTTTAACGGGATCTGTAACTGGTTAAGAACGGGTGAATTCCTGACTCCGCAAAATGTCGTATAGTCATCTGAATATAAGATATGTAACAGATCGAGAACATTTTGTTACAAAAAGTCATTTCCTACAAACCTAAAACTTTTTTGTAAAAATATTGTACAAATTATAAGAAACAAATAAGGAACAAGATTATCTCGAATTCAGTAAAACATTTTTTAAAATATATTCTATTTTTATTCCTGTAAAGATTATGATTATGAAATTAGAAAATTTATATATATTTTTGAAATAATTCCTAAATTACTTCCATTTGCATTTTTTCTTTCGTTAATAAATTTGCAAAGACTTAAAAAACCCCAGGATGTCCTCAAGATATTCCAGGACGTCTTTAGAACATCATACAGCAGGGTTGCCACAAAAATTTAATTTTGTTTTTCCCTGACTTTTCCCTGATTTCCAGACAAAATTTTCACTTTTTCCCTGACCCTAAAGAATATTCTGATTCACTCTAAAAATGATTTGATACTCAAAAAAATGTTCTATTACATTTATTTACAAATTTGAGATTCTTCAAATACATTTATTTACAATTCAATTTTACAAAATTTCAATTATTCGGAAATTCTTCAATTAAATACATATACACTACAAAATAAAACCTTCAAATAATTTAAAAAAATTGCGATTAGGTTTTTTGAAAAAAATAAGTCCCATAGGATTTTTAATTAAAAGTATAAAAAATTCAAATTTTTAAAGATTTTAATTTAAAACTTTTACAAAATTCAATTATTTCTAAAAATTGCAATTATTAGTAACTTCTTCAAAGTTCAATTATTATCTGAAACTTTAACTGAAATTAATTTTCAAATCTAATCTAAATAATTGAATTCCTGAGAAATTTTTATGATTCATGAAAAGAATTGAATTCTTACGAAGATTTTAACAAAATTTTTTTTAAATAATTGAATTCTGTTTGAAAATAGTTAATATTGAAAATCATTGAATTACGAAAAGTTTTTTAAAATAATTAAATTTTATAAAGAATTAAATTAAAATTTTTGACAATAATTGAATTCTTACGAATGATTTTATTAAAACTTTTTTAAATAATTGAATGTTAGTGAAAAATATTGTTATTTATGAAAATAATTGAATTTTGCAAAGAATTTTATTAAAATGCCTAAAAAATAATTGAATTTTCAGGAATAATTTTGTTATCTATCGTCATAATTTAATTCTTTCGAAGAATTATTCGTGTAAATAATTGAATTCGTAGGAAGAATTTTATTAAAATCAAAAAGAATAATTGAATTATTTCAAAAAATTTTATTAAAATTGTATTTTAAAATCATTTTTTTAAATAATTGATTGTTGGGAGGAATCGAAATTAAATTTTTAAGAATAATAAATTACATGTTTGAGCAATTCCTGTAAAATTGTATTAAAAATAATTGAAATCCTGCAATGAGTTTTATTATTTATGAAAATAATTAAATTATTGCGAAGAATTTTATAAAAAGGTTTCAAACATTTGTTTTTTTTCGAACAAATGTATGTAATTCCATTTTTAATAATTGAATTCCTGTGAAATTTATATTGTTTTCAAAAATAATGGATATAAAAATTATTGAATTAAGAAAAATTTTTGAAAATAATTTAAATTTTGACTTGAATTTTATTAAAATTTTTGAAAATAATTGGAATTTATTACTTTTTAAAATAATTGAATTCTTGTGATGAATACTATTATTTATGAAAATAATTGAAGTTTGCAATGAATTTTATTAAAATTCCTGAAAAGAATTGAATTTTGTCGAAGAATTTTACTATTCATTTATAAAGATAATTGAAATGTTGACGACAATTTTTTTTAGATTTTTTTGAAAATAATTGATTTTCTGCGAAGAATTTTATTGTTTTTGAAAATAATGGAATTATTAAGATTGTTATTGTTATTTATAAAAATAATTGACTTTTACAATGAATTTTATAAATATTTCTGAATATAATTGAATTTAGGTGAAGAATGTTGCTATTTATAAAGAAAATTAAAATGTTGACGAGAATTTTTTTTTAAATTTTGAAAATAATTGAATTTCTGGAAAGAATTTTAATATTTATTAAGATAGTTGAATTCTTTCAGAGAATTGAGTTAAAATTTTAAAAATTGAAACTAATTTTAAGAAAATTGAAATATTTAATTTTTTCCAGTACTTTTACTTTCCCTGACTTTTACTTGAATTTCCTGATTTCCCTGTCCAGAGGCAACCCTGTACAGATATAATAATTTCCAGACATCCTTAGGACTCAATTCATTTTAACTTTTGTAACTTCTCAAAACCTCCTGAATTATTCATCATAATCTTTATGGGAATTATGAAAATAGAATACTTAAGCTTTCCTTTGACATAATTTTCATTAAAATCTGAGATAATCTGTTTCGAAATATTCAAAAGTTTATTTTTTAAACTAAATATTCTAAATAAATTGTATATTTTAAAAAGTTCCTTTTACCATCCTAAAGTTTCTAGTAAATGTTTCTTAACAAATATACTTTGGTTTCTTTAAATAGGATGAATAATTATTTCAAAAATGTCATACATATTGTCCATTGTTTACAAAGGGTTCGTGTTCAGATATACAAATGAATGGATAAAATTTAATTTTGTTAAAATATAGTATTAAAAATAAAAAGAAGTTTCCGTGATTAAATGTAATGAATAAATTAAAAATGTTATACAATGAGATATTTTTATTTTCTTTTAATTTTAAACCTTCTTATGAAGATGGTGATTTTCTTAATGTATACTATAATTATGTATATATATAAAGCAAAATTTTGTTATCAATCTAACTGAACAAATGTTCTAAGATCAAGCGGTAACCTGAATTAAATTTGCCTTATACCCAAATCCGAAATTCGAAACGGTAAAAAAACTGGCTCAATATCTATTGGCGAAACTGTAACTAACTCATCTTGGCCACTGGTCCGAACATCTGACATATATTGCCAAAATAAAAAAAGAGAAAATACATATTTTATATAGGGCAATAAAAAAGCATTTTCACATTTAATAAAAATTGATGACAACAAAATTGTTTTCTTTCAATTTGACCTTGAAATTCAAGGCCAAATTCTTAATTTTAATATATCTCAAAAACGGTTTTTTATTTTTTTTCCTAACCTATCCCAATGGAAAGCTTACCATTTTTCCTATGAGCCATGTAAAAAATCAGAGTGAGACCTTGAGAATTTTTCAAGAAAACAATTATAAATCATTATTTTAGAAAGAAAATTATTATTTTCTTGAAAAATTTTCAAGGTCCCACACTGATTTTTACATGGCTCATAGAAAAAAAAGGTAAGCTTTCCATTGCAATAGGTTAGAAAAAAAATAAAAAACCGTTTTTGAGATATATTGAAATTAAGAATTTGACCTTGAATTTCAAGGTCAAATTGAAAGAAAACAATTATTTTTCATCGCCAGCTTGTAGCTTGTGAAAAACCCTTTAAAAATCACTATTCACATGTATAATTTGTTTAATTTTACTCATCAATATATTAAATTGAAAAAAGATATTTTCAAAAAAGTCAAAAAAATATTTTATAAAATTCAATAATAATTTATATTTACAATTCCACTAATAATATTAATATTTTGGCAAAGTTTCGAGAAAATTCATTTTTTGACCTGGACATCATTTTGCTTTTGCATCTCAAATTTTTTTTAAACATTTTTTTTCTGTTAGTACCCTTTGAAACGAGCTACCTTGATTTTTTTCAAATTTTTTCATAAAGCGGTTCAGGAGATACAGATTTTTGAAAAATGACGTTTTTTACGTAAATTTTTTTTAAATGCTTATAACTCGGTCAAAAATTGATCAAATTGGACGTTTTTATAATGAAAAGTTTTGTCTTTATCTACACGTAGTTTTTAATAAAAATATTTTAAAATAATTTACGATAAGATTTAAAAAATTTTTAAATAAAATTTAATTTTTAACAATGTATGTATCGATAAATTTTTTTCAAAATTTTTTGTAACAAACTACCACTAAATTAACCATTTTTAAGCCTTGTCCGATTGTGGGTAAACGATGGGATCTATTTATTTTGAAATTTTTAATTTTATGAAAAAATTTGAAAAAAATTAAGGTAGCTCATTTCAAAGACTACTAAAAGAAAAAAAATGTTAAAAAAAAAATTTGAGATGCAAAAGCAAAATGATTTCCGATTTGGCCTGGAATGCCCCATATATATTAAATCAATAAAATTATTTAAGTTTAAATTGTATTTATCTATTGTTCATTAATAATAATTAAATAATTTACAAAATTTGACTTTAAAATATGTGTTTAATTTTTATCGGTCATCAAAAAATTATGTTTTTTCTACCGAAATTTCTAGTAAATTTTGATTCTTTTCTCCGTATAGAGTTAACGTTTCAAATTTTATAAAAGTAAAAATTTTGTATTAAAAAAATTCAAATGTTTTATTGATTTATTCAAATAATAAATCTGAATCAATTAACTTTCAAATGTCCAAAATTTTTATCTTGATTTCATCGAAGTATTTCAAACATTTAAGGATTCATATCACTTTAAACGACTAAAAATTTAGAATTTTTTTACGATTCCTGTATACTTTTATTGATATAGATCTTTTTTAGTTCAACAAAAACACTCTTTAACTACATTCAAAACGTCGTTTTATAAGAAAAATATTCTTTACTTATTTAAAATTTAACAATACTTTTCGCCTTGCTAAAAATACCGATGCCAGCTGTGTATGTGTTTTTTCAGATTAGAAAACTCAAAAATGCAAAAACCAAAAAGATTTAAGTTCAGTAGGATTGTAGTTATCGTCGGAACTAGAATGATTAATTTCTATGATTTCTATGAAAAAATAACAAAATGGAATCAGTTTAAATAAAGTTATTCGAAAAATGATTTCGTTTTTTACAAAAAGTTTGCTTAAAATTTGAACAGGACTTTTAAAAATTCAAAATTTCGAAAATTCATTTAAAATTGGGGCAATTATACGAAAATAAAAAAATACGTATTTAATATTTTTCTATAAAGAACGTGAAAAAAATATGTTTAACCCATTTTAAAATATCATAGAAAAATTTCACGTGGAATCGCTGTATGTTACTTTTGAGATGATAATTATTTTATAGAAAAAAGATTACGGTGGTGCAAACAAAATTTCAACCAAAAAAAATTATCATAATAATAATTGTTATAATAATATATAATTAATTAATAATAATAAATAATACCTAATAATAATAATAATAATAATAATAATAATTTATTATTAATTAATATATCATTATTATAATTATAATTATTATTATATTATATATTATTATTATTATTATTATTATTGTTTTAAAATTAAAAAAAAATTTATATTTTCTTTCTGTGTGAAAATTTGGTCGCCAATTTTTTTAAAACTGTTTTTACGTGTTGTGCAACATATATATTTTTTCATGCAAATCGGTTCAGCCATTTAGGAGGAAACCAAAATTTTTTAATTTTTAAAAAAAATTGTTTAACTCAAAAACAAAATTTCTTTCCGAGTTAAAACTTGGTGTAAAAAAGTTTTATAATAGGACAAAGTTATTTCCCAAATGAACCTAATCCACTAAAGTAATTTATTGTTTATTGTGGTTCACTTGTCTTTAAAAAATTCAAAATAGTGGATCGAAAATGACGGACGAAATTTAAGATTTTCCAAATTTTCAAAATCTGTTAAATTTTTAGAAATTAAGGCCGCCATATTGGATCCGCTATTTTGATATTTAAACATCTGACTTCAGATTCGTATTTAGCGATCCCATCCAAGTTTCAAATGTAGAAAACATTAAAAAAAACATTATTTTAAAGCTTTATATTTCTTTTTTGAAAGCGGACTTATCTTTCTTCTCACATTTTGTAAACTTTTCAACAACTTATGACTTTCTAGTTTTCATCAAGTGAAAGAGCATTTTAAACTCTAACCGAATTCAGGATACCTACAGAAATCCGAATTTAAAATTCCATATACCTTTTACATGATTTAAAGGTCAAATTTTTACGAAATTCCAGTGGAATTTTAAATTTAATTTCATTATTTTTGGGCTCTTGGAAAATACTTTTCTTATTTAATAGTCTCGAATCTTTGGTAAAAAATCTAAAATTATCGAAAATTATGAAAAATTCAAAAAACCGATTTTTTTAAAATTCAACATTTTTTCTTCTCTTTTATGCCATTTAGCTTCATTATTATTTGAATTTCTATTCAAGAGAAAAAATGAAAAACAGGAAAAATTTGGAAACTTTTAAAAATTCCTGGCCTTTTCCATGATTTCCAGAAGCATTTTAAAAATTCCATTCCATTTCCATGATTTCGAGATTCTGTAGGAACCCTGGAATTGGCAAAAAAAAATGAAAATTAATTTTTTGACATCAAAGCCCCCCTCTTTGAAAGAAAATATTCTCAGAGCCACTTGTAAACACATAATAGGTTATAAGACGAGTGGATACTAAATAATTATGAATAGTATTATATTTAAATTTTTATTTAAAAATATTAATATCAAATAATGATATTAGGAAATATCTCATTTTTATGTTGAACCTGATTTCGATTTTCAATGTGTACAGAAAATATAATTAATATTTAGTTCTACTTCGGCTTCGTTTCCTACATCGATATTCGTCGTATTTTGCTTCTTTGCGTTCACTAGATCTACTCCTATACTTATCTTTGGATTTGTGTCTCTTTCTTTCTCTAGACTTGTCATCTCTCGACCTATTGTGTGACCTATCTCTGTGTTTCGATTTTTCTTTCAATTTATATCGTTCCTCCTTTGCTTCATATTTATCTCGCCTATATGAATGATAATCCGATTCATGTCTTTCTGTTCGATGATTAGAATGTTCTCTTCTACTTTCTTTTCTATAATGTCGATCATTTGTTTTCTCCTTATGAAAATTAGTTTCTTCATGATCTGGAAAGAAGTTTCTGATTTCGGAATTTGCATGGGAAGTTACAGAATGTTCCGATGAGTCAATAATTTCATTGATTGCTTCTTTCTTTCCATCTTGAGAAGTAGATTGCTCAGAGAGATATTCTTTAAATATTTCCATCTGCTCCTCCAACACTTCTCGCATAACTTCCACATGGGATTTTTTATTCGTGTGAACGCCACGATGCTTAGTTCTGCGTCTTTTTAAATTGCGTTCTTGAGCTAAAAGCTCCAAGTAAGATACGGATTTTTCTTCTTTCTTTTCCTTCCTGTTAAATATAATAAGATTTTGTTAATGCGTAAGGGTGATTATCACAAAAAAGTTTTCCCTGACCCTAAAGAATATTCTGATTCACTAAATAAAATAAATATTTAATCATTATTATTTTTCCATGGGAACCAAGATCTTCAAAATTTCTAATTCAAACCTTTTGAAATTCAATAACTTATAATAATTAATGGTGACCGAGTGATAAGATCATTATTTTATATTATAAGAATATTATTACTTTAACTTCTTTAAAATTATTTTCATCATTTCAATTCAATTATTATTTTCTAGAATTTTTAAATAAAATTCTTCTTTAAATCAAATATTTTTAACAATTTTCAGCAAAGTTCTTTAAGAATTTTCAAATCCATTTGTTCACAATTCAATTTTACGTGAAATTTCGATTATTCGGAAATTCTTCCATTAAATATGAAAAATTCAAATTTTCAAAGATTTTAATTTGAAACCTTTACAAAATTCAATTATTTCTAAAAATTGCAATTATTAGTAACTTCTCAAAAATTCAATTATGTATTATCTAAAATTTTAACTGAAATCAATTTTATTAGAAAATTCTACGAGAATTCAATTATTTAAATACAAAAATAAATAATTTAATGAATAATTAAATGCTTTTTAAAATTATTGAATTCTCATAAAGAATTTAATCAACAAAGTTTTGAATAATTGAATTCTTTCGAAGAATTTTAATAATATTTTTAAGAATAATTACATTTTTCGAGGAATTCGATTAAAATTTTATTAAAAATAATTGAAATTTTGCAATGAGTTTTATTATTTATGAAAATAATTGGATTTCTCCAATAATTTGTAACTTCTTCAAAATTAAATTTTTGTTTTAAGGTAAATAAAAACGAATTCATTCGGACCAAATATTATTCTATTTTTTCTCCAACGTTTCGAAACCTTAACGATTTCCTATTTCAGAGAGTTGAAATAAATCGTCATAAAAATAAAATTTGTCAATTTTTACGTAAAACCCATAAACGTTGGAAAACAATAGGAGTTGGAGTCAATAACAACAGCGTAAATATAATCCATTCACAAAAATCACACAAAGGAAATTCCATGAATAGACAAAACATTGTTATCACACAAAACATTAGAAAATAAATAAATAATTTGAACACAAAAGCAAATAAATAAATTAAATTAAATGGAAACAAACGAATAAAATTTGAACTTGTATCAGCTATCAAATCACAACATCAATTAAATTTTTGTAGTGTTTTTTTAAATAAAATTCTTCTATAAATCCATTATTTTGAATAATTTTTGTTTGTTAAAAATATGAAAAATTCAAACTTTCAAAGATTTTAATACGAAATCTTTTGAAATTTTCAAATTTTTCAAAGAATTTACGCTAAAGTGCTTTTAATATTCAATTACAATATAACATTTGAAATGAAATTCATTTTCCTTTAAAGAATTTTAGTATTTACGAAAATAATTGAATTTTTGTAAAAAAACTTATAAAAAATTTGTAAATAATTCAATTCCTGTAAAATATTTATTATTTTATGAAAATAATTAAATGTTTGCGTAGAATTTTATCAATTTTTTTTTAAATAATTGAATTCTTTTGGAAAATTTTATTAAAATAATAAATATTGAAAATCATTTAATTGAGGAAATATTTTTGAAAATAATTGAAATTTTGCCAAGAATTGTATGAAAATTTTTTTAAATAATTGAATTTCGGAGAAGAATTTTAATATTTCTAAAGATAATTGAAAGGCCGTAGCAGTATAAGCATGTAAAAAGTGCCCCCTCTTGGATTAGGTCCATATTTAGGGAATAACTTTGACCTATTATGAGACTTATTTTCACCAAGTTTCAACTCGAAAAAAAATTTTGCTTTTGAGTTATACAATTTTTTTGAAAAATTCAAAAAAATTCAAAAATTTTTTTTCGCTCCAAAGTAGCTGAACCGATTTTCATGAAACAATTTTTTTTGTACAATACAATATAAACAGTTGATAAAAAAAATTGTCGACCAAATTCAAACAAAAAAAGTCAGTATAAAGTCAATAAAAAAAAAAAATTTTTTTAATTTTTTTAAAAAAACATTTTTTTCTATTGATATTTTTTTGCACCACCGCCATTTTTTTTACATAAGATAATAGTCATTTCAAAAGTAACATATATTTTTTGCAAGATGTTTGAAAGGGTACTTCATACTTTAAAAAATAAAAAACCAATTTTTGGCCCCTAAATAGTACATATAAACGAGGGGCCAACATTTTTTAAAATTAAATTAAAAATTAATTAATACTTAAATTAAATTTCTAAAAAAGTTAATAATATATGCCTGTTTACTGTATATATTGATTTTTTAGTATGTACAAGATTTATTAAAAAAGTAAATGGACGTACACTATGTACTGTTGGGAATTACCGGTACGGCTGCACGCGCACGGCCCAAAAACATGTCAATCTTGAAAACACAATTTTTTTGTAAATACACTGAGAAAACGATTTATTTGATTCAAAAAATTTTTGTTTAAATCAAACTTAAAATATCTTTGCTATACAGTCAAACAAATTTAAGTTTAATTCAAACATATTTTTTGGTTCATTTATAGAAATAATATATTCAATTCAAACATCATTTATGGTAGATTTTAAATTATTTCTAATCAACATTTATCTTTAGATCAAACATAACATTTTTAAACATATTTTTTTTTTAACCAAAACAGAAAATATATTTGAATTAAACACAATTATTCAAACAAATATTATTTTTGAATCAAAGCAGTAGATATTTTCTATATATGTATATTGGGATCTCACGAACCGAATAAGATTTTTAGATTCTTTTGGTCTTAAGTTAAAGATAAAACTTAAATCTAAGTAAAAATAATTTTTTTTTGTAAATTTTTTTGAAAAGTTGACTAAAATATCAATATTTACAATAAACAGGCATGTATTATCAACTGTTTAGAAATTTAATTTAAGTATTAATTAATTTTTAATTTAATTTTAAAAAATGTTGGCCCCTCGTTTATATGTACTATTTAGGGGCCAAAAATTGGTTTTTTATTTTTTAAAGTATGAAGTACCCTTTCAATCATCTTGCAAAAATTAAATGTTACTTTTGAAATGACTATTATCTTATGTAAAAAAAATGGCGGTGGTGCAAAAAAAATTTCAATAAAAAAAAATTAAAAAAAATTTTTTTTTTTACTGACTTTATACTGACTTTTTTTGTTTGGATTTGGTCGACAATTTTTTTTTATCAACTGTTTATATTGTATTGTGCAAAAAAATTGTTTCATGAAAATCGGTTCAGCCATTTTGGAGGGAAAAAAAATTTTTGAATTTTTTTGAATTTTTCAAAAAAATTGTATAACTCAAAAGCAAAATTTTTTTTCGAGTTGAAACTTGGTGAAAATAAGTCTCATAATAGGTCAAAATTATTCTCTAAATATGGACCCAATCCAAGAGGGGGCACTTTTTACATGCTTATACTGCTACGGCCTTTTGACGATTTTGGTCGAGTTTTGAAAAGTTCGTTTGCTTGTTTGTTGTTCAGCGGACCGTTTTGCATCACGGCGTTATCTTAGCAGGATCCTCCGATGAGATTTGTGGAGATTTAAGAAAAGGGGCAGTTGCGAGCAATAGAGAAATTCTTAGACGAGATTTGATACAAATGATCAGATTGAATATTTCACTATATTTTACATATATTAAAATAAATAATATATTAACAGTTTATTAAATACGTACGTTTTGTTCAAGTCAGCAATATCTTGGCCAATATTGTTTTTTTGCGTGTTGGCAATAACATAATTGTAGATAGCTATACGTTCATTGCTGGTAAAATCGGAGAAAATTCTGTTTGATGTGCGGGGAATCATTCGGTCTCCCACACCTATTTTTACCAATGAAAAATAAATACCTTAATTTCATTAAATTGAATGATAAAAACAATTAAGAAGAAAGATCTATTAAGTTATATCACAATTGTATAAGCAATTAAAAAAGGATATCAAAAAGGATATGGTGTATCCGATACTATATTCATAACTTTCTGCAATAAAATCAGTTTGTTTAATTTACATTTAAAAAATATTAGAATTCTGAAACAATACAAAAATTTATAAAATACAAACCTAAAATTTTCGTATTTTTTTCTTTCTCCGTGAGTAGGATTTCAGATTGAAGATTTGCATCTGTAAATAAATTAATAAATATATCAAGGAAGTTATATAATGTAAGTGAATTGAATTAGAGCGATTTCAAGTCAAGTGATCCGGGGCATTTAATTACTTCGCATATTTCGGCGACGTTTAGTTCAATTAACGAAAGAAAATCTAATTTTGTTAGATTTGTTTCTGAAAGTTCGTCAATGAAAATTTTTTTTTTCAGTGAAAATTACAAAAGCTATAGTATTTTTTTTGATCGAATACCTTAACGTGAAATCCTCGTATAAAAGTTTAAGCAAAAGTGACAAAATGTTTACCAATTTTGATGGTATAAGGATTATCGGGAGATAGTGTTGGCTCTGAGAGCTCAACGTCAAATTGGTCATAACCTTCGTCCCTCCACAGACAAGCGTCTATGTGATGTTGTACATCTTTTTTAGGAAGTCGATGTCCAGTATTAAAAGGACATATGCTATAGTTTTCTTCCTGAAAAACAAATATTACTATTAGATTTTAATAATACTACCAGCAGCAATTCGCGCAGCTACCTTCTTACTACTTTTTTAAAATAAAATTAGCAATTTTAAAAATATGTAATAAAATTTAGAAATTTTCTAATTTAAATTTTTGTTGACAACACTAAAAAAATTCAATTTTGGAGAAATTACAAATAATTGCAGAAAAACAATTATTTAAAAAAAATTAAAAATTTATAAAAAAATAAAAAAAAATTAAAAACTATGTTCAAAATTTGAAAAAAAAATTCTCGTAAAAATTCCAATTATCTTTATAAATAACAAAATTCTTCTCCAAAGTTCAATTATTTTCATAAATGGCAAAAAAATTCTTGTCCTAATTTCAATTATTTTCGATATCTAAGATTGTAATAAAATTCCCCAAAAAGGAATTCGAAATTATTTAAAAAAAATTTAATAAAATTGTATGTAAACAATTAATTATTTTCATAAATAATAAAAATTGTACATGAATTCAATTATTTTTATAAATAATAATTTTTTTTGGAATTCAATTATTATTTTCATAAAAAATAATTTTAAATTCTAGAAAATAAGAATTGAATTAAAATGATGAAAATAATTTTGATAAAGTTACAGTAACAATATTTTTATAAAATATAAAATAATGATTTTAACAGTCGACCCTCTTTAATTACTATAAAACATGAAGAAATTGATATTTTCATGTTGTATAACAATACTTTTATAAGTTGTTTAATTTAGAAAAGGTGTGAATTTAAAATTTTTGAATATCTTAATTCCTGTGGAAAATCCTGTTCCAAGAATAAGATTAAAAATAGAAATTGTGCAAATATTTTTCTTCTTTTTCTAAAACAAAATAATAATTTTGTTAAAAAAAATTGTGATTCATAAACAAAAATAATGAAAAATAAATAAATTTTTTATTTCTTAATCACAATTGTTTAACATTTTTCTAATTTTGCTTAGAAGTAAAGAAGAAAAATCTGCATAATTTCAATTTGACAAAACATAATATTTAACAAAATTTTAGTCTTTTAATGAAAAGAAGTGAAAAAAATTCTGATGATTTCCATTTGACATTACAATTTTGAATTAATTATAAAATAAAAGTAATTATAACATAATTAATGTAATATACAATCTATATATCTAAAGTTAACAAAAAACAAAAGTATACACAAAAGACAACTTCAGAGTGTGAGGTACAGAAAAAATGAAAGAATGAATACGAAGATTTTTATAGTTAATAATAGTTCACGATAAGATTTATTATTAATTACCAAAGAATAAAAATATTTTGCATTCAAGTGGAATACTTTTGTTCTGAGAGGATTTTTCCGCTATGAGAATACTTTTTTCAAGGTGTAAGAATTATGTTTAAAAAATTTAATATTACATTCTTTATGAAATACATGACAGTAATATTGTTAAATGATATAAAACTTGAGAAGCTTAGGACAGTAGATATTATGTAAAATAGAATTTGTTTGTGAAAATAAGTGAATGAAATGAGTATATTAATTCAGAGGTTAAGACTTACTTTCTCGTTAAAATTTTCTAAACTCCACTGGAACATTACCAATATTTTTTCCAAAACATCATCTGTACTTTTAGTGAATGTAATTAATTTGTTTAACTCTTCATCACGATATTCTTGTGAATTTTCATTCATTTTTAAGTGCTTACAGTATTTAAAAACATTAAAGAACTTTTAAGGTGAATGTGGGTGAATGTTTAAATAGCCTTCCATACAGCGTAAGGCCCAAAGCACAATATGTTCCTGAACAACGTTCGTAACCGTAATGCTGTGTTCACCTGCTTACGGAAGCTTCTATAAAGTCGGTTCTACAATGGGCACGTCGGACGTGGTCGTCTAACGTACCGTGCTGACGTCACCCATTTGAATAGCATGGGTGACGTCAGCACGGTACGTTAGACGACCACGTCCGACGTGCCGTGCTGACGTGCCCATTGTAGAACCGACTTGAAGTTGTGTCCACAATAGCACCTTGAACGAAACGTGAACGTAAATTAAAACGATACGTTCCATTTAAGGTGCTATCGTGGATACAACTTAAAGGTGACGTCCATGTAGATACACAGTCTGTCTCTCTTACTCCAATGTAAATTTTCCGTTCTGGACAATTTTCACCAAAGGTGTAAATGCTCCATTAAAACGTAAAAGCAGGAATCGTTAAACCAATAAAAACCTTCTGTTAAATAGAAATCTTTTGAATAGAGAGATTTTATTGGCTAAACTTTTTACATATGTTCCTGGACGCAAGTGGGTACAGGGATGGGTCAGTTTCACATGATTTCGGATCCCAATTGTGTTTAGGCCTTAATCTTCTTGTTTACATTTTTTGACATTCAAAATGTAACCTTCATTATATATAAAAACACATGTAGTGAATTTACTATTTTTTTGCTTTTAAGAAAAAACATAACTGACTGTATATGATGAGAGAAGTTTTAAGTTGACACATTTATATTTTGCAATGGAATTAGCGTGCACTTGTTAAAAGTTGCAAATTTGTAATTAAAGTTGTCTATACATTTTCAGCAAATGTAAATAGGAGTTTATCAAAATAATCATATATTGTAAATGAAAAAAGAATTCTAAGTTTGTGATTACAGAAAATGGAAAAATATGAAGTTCTTTGTCAAATTGGGGAAGGCTCCTTTGGACAAGTATATAAAGCAAAAAAACGATCTAATGGAGACATTGTTGCGTTTAAAGTAATCAGAAAGGTATAAAAAAACATAATTTACTAATTATCGTACATAAAAAATTGTTTTCTTAAATAATATTTAAAACTAAATTTTTAAATAATTGTAATTTTAATAATAAAATTTTATTCCAAAAATCTTTTAATAAATAAAAAGAACATCATTTTGAAAATATGTTTATTTGTTTAAAAATAGTCAAAATTTTCTTTTAAACAAATAGAAAAATAGCATATTTTCAAATTGGCGTGTTTGTTTAAAAATTAGAACGGTGACGTTGCAGAGAATCATTTTTTAAAGGAAATAAACTGTATTATATTAATGTCGAATCATTTTTTAAAATTTTGTAAGAAGCGATATTACAAAAAATTTGGATCATATGTAAATTGTATGAGAGTAAATTTTTTTATTGTCATTTTTGTCTCTTGAAAATTAAGAATTTTGTTTTTCTACAAAGTACTATTAATATATGAGACTGAAGTCCGCAACGTTTTTAAAAACGAAAAATAAAAAAATAATTTTTTTCTCAAGTTAAATTCAGAATCATTAAATTTCCATGTACAAAAATTTTCAAGAAATTAATTGTTACTTAAAAAATAATTACTCGTATTAATACTAATGTGGTATATAAATAAATAAACAACAATTTTATATTTTGATAATTATTAAGAACAAAGCCACTAAACATTGACAAATTGTAAAAATTTTTATATCTTAAAAATAAAAATGCAGCTACTACTTATTATCCTACAACAAAAATAAGGCCATACATTAAATTTTTCTTACAATCAGAAAAGTCTAAATTTATTTTTAGAACCTAAGTAAATTTTGCGTTCTTTTTTTAAACAAATAGACTTTTATTTAAAAAAATTCATATTTAAAAGTAAAATATTTAATAATTCAACGGTATTAATTTTTGGGGTCGCTGTTTACGAATTCGGTGTTAATTGTTAATAATTCAAAATAAACCAAGAGGTGGCGCCAAATGTACCAGAAATTATAAATTGTTGATTATCTTTAATTTTAAATTAAAAACAATTTAATATAATGTCTTGTTTGTAAGAGAAAATTGATTAATGGTAAAAAATATACAAAATGAAACAATTATTTTATTAAAATTATTTTAAAAAATTTAATATTAGTAGACTGAATACATTTCAAATCAGGCAAGTCGACTAACTTTAAATTATAGATTTACCTGTCGTTAAAATATATTATTCTACATGAAAAATAAAGAGACGTATTTTTTTATTTTTCAAATAAGCTTAATTTAACGAAGTTATGCACATTTAAACTTTGAGTTGTAAAACTCGAATGTACAGTGAAAAAAAATTGTTTTGCTTATTAAGAAAAACTTCATTACTTCCATAGAAAATTGAAATAAATTCTTCAAAACGATTTATTATTAAAAAAATTTTTTAATAAAAATCTTGTCAAGAATTAAATCATTTTTAATACAATTTTAATTACATTTTGTCGAAAGAATTCAATCATTAAAAAAAATGTTGATAAAATTCTTGAAATGAATTTAATTATTTTCAATTTTTTCTATACATACTTTACAAGAATTAAATGATTTTTAGTAAATCGACAATTTAATTATTTCTAAAAATAATTGAATTTTTAAATAAAATTTTATTAAAACTTTTTTAAATAATTGAATCCGTGCGAAAAAATTTATTATTTCTACAAATAACTGAATTTTTGCAAAAAATTTAAAGAAATAAGTGAATTTTTGAGAAGAATTAATTAAAATTGTATTTAAAATAATTAAATTCCTGCGAAAATATAATTATTTTTTTTAAATATTTGAATTCTTGAATTGCATTTTATTAAAAGTTTTCTGAATAATTGAACTCCTGTGAAAAATTCAATTCTTTCTTAAAATAATTGAATTTTCTCGGAGATTTTTCACAAAATTTTTAAAAATAATTGAAATGTTCAAAGAAATTAATTAAAATTTTATTGAAAATAAGAGAAATCCTTATAAGAATTTTATTACTTATAAAAATAATTTAATTTTTTACGAAGATTTTTATTATTTATAAAGTAACTAAAGAGTTTTATTACAATAATTATTGAAAATAATTGAATTCTTCATAAAATTCAATTATTTAAAAATTTTTTGATAAATACTTTACAAGAATTCAATGATTTTCAGTAGGGTTGTGGCACCAGTGAAAGAACATTTAAGGAAATGTATACTTTCGATATTTTTTACTTTTAATTGACATTCTTGAATTTTGTTTTAAACGTATGCAATGCACGGTGGTCTTGAAACATTTTAAATACTTTTGACACATGCCCTTTGGGAGCGTTCATATAAATGATGTCACGCAATTTTTCGGGATTTTAGACCCCCCCTCCCCCTGTCACGCAATTTCATGCAATTTCACATGTAAAAATACATTGTGTCACGTTTAGTAGAGACCCCCCCCCTTACCCCCAAAAACGTGACATCATTTGTGAACGCTCCCTTTCCAATTTTTGCATAAAACGTTTCCACACCACCTACAGAACTGATTTTAACTTAAATCAAAATCGTGTATTGGGCCGATCTTTTTAAACTTCCTTTAAGAGTTATGGAGGGGGAAAGAAAAATAAAAAAAATGTTTTTCGGAAAGTACTTAATCGATTCGAATGGAATTTAAATATGTTATAAATATAGAAAAGGCAATTTAAAAAAAAATTTCAACATTTTTTTCAAAAAAAATTTTAAAGAAATTGATTTTGAAATCTTCAAAAAAAAATTTCGATTTTTTTACTGATACACCTCGAATTTTTTTTTAAAAATACTTTAGAGTTTCCTCTTTAATAATATATATTGTTTCCAGATTTTTGACAAATATAGTTTTTTCAAAAAACGATTTTTTTGAAAAATAACCCAAAAATTCATTTTTTTCGGAAACTATACTTAACCGATTTAAATGAAATTTAAATGTGTTATACACATAAATAAGACAGTTTAAAAAAATATTTCAAATTTTAAAAAAATAATTCTAAACTAATTAATTTAAAATTTTCAAAAAAAAATTTTTTAAGTGTTTTCCGAAAAAAAAGAATTTTTAAAGTTTTTTTTCAAAAAGTCATTTTTTGAAATAACTAAATTTTTTTGAAAACTGTAAAAAATATATATTAAAGAGGAAACTCTAAGGAATTAAAAAAAAAATTGAAGGTGTATCATTAAAAAAAATCGATTTTTTTAAGATTTCAAAATTAATTTCTTTAAAATTTTTTTTGGAAAAAAAAATTTGAAATTTTTTTTTAAATTGTCTATTCTATATTTATAACTTAGTTAAATTTTATTCGAATCGGTTAAGTACTTTCCGAAAAACATTATTTTTTTTATTTTTCTTTCCCCCTCCATAACTCTTAAAGGAAGTTTAAAAAAAATCGGCCCAATACGCGATTTTGATTTAAGTTAAAATCAGTTCTGTAGGTTGTGTGGAAACGTTTATGCAAAAATTGGAAAGGGCATGTGTCAAAAGTATTTAAAATCTTTCAAGACCACCGTGAATGAATAGCAAAATTTCTAAAGAATTCGAAGTCTATGATACATGTATTAAAATGTAATTAAAATTGTATTGAAAATAATTTAATTCTTGACAAGATTTTTATTAAAATTTGTTTAAAATAATTGAATTGTATTGAAGAATTCATTTCAATTTTCTATGGAAGTAATGACGTTTTTCTTAATAACTTTTACTGAAAATTTTAAAAATAATTTAATTTTAAGAAGAGTTTCTTTTAAAGGAGCATTCAGACCTCTGCAGGCTGCCTGCCTGCACAGGCAGAAGATCGTTCACACCTCACTTTTCTCGTTGAAAAATGAGAGAAGATTTAAATATCTATTAAAATTCAAATCTTCCCTCATTTTTCAACGGAAAAAGTGAGGTGTGAACGATCTTCTGCCTGCGCAGAATAGGCAATAATTGCCATCCTCTGAATTTTTCAACTATATTTAATTTCCCAAGCGAAAAAATTAGTTTGTTCTGTTTGTTTTGTTTTTTATATTATTTTATATAGTTTGTTCTTTTTTACAGAAACTTTAAATTTTAAAAACTTAAATTTTGTTTTAACTAGCGCCCTCGACGGCTGCAAGCGGCCGCCTACGGTGCTAATTTTTATATGTCCATTGTCCATTATTTTATTAATAATAATATTAATAGAGGAGAGTCAGTACGGTTGGGCCACTTTTTGACTTGTGCCCATAACTTCCGTTCTAGGCCGAATTTCACGTTTTCTGACATATGGTGGGAATGATTTTCTAAAGTGGAATGTTTCTTCTGTACATCAGAAAATGTGTATACAAAAATTGGAAAAGTTAAAAAAAATGTCGTTACGGTCAGACCACCGTAGAAAATCAATGTGATATGAAGGAATACATATTACTAAAAACGGCCCGTAAATTACAGAAGAATGCTGAAATGCACTTGAAAATGGGAGAAGGAAATATAAAAATTACTCTTTACCAATTTTTTATTTTATTAACCGTATAAAAAAATTAATATTGGACTATTAGTAAATGACGTCCTTGGTATATAGTTGCGCCCCGCTGATCGTATTGAACCATGATCACATATTACATCCCGAATGGCTTGTATTACGTTGGAAAATCAAGATTTCTGCGGTTAGTTTTCCTTTTTCTTCTCGAAGTTGGTCTAAAAATTCAAGAAAAATCACAAAAAATTATTAATATATAAATTTTTCAATAAACCTCATTGGACAAGAAAAGATTCACTTTCGAGAAACGTTCTTAAAACGTTTGTCTGTCAAAATAAAGTATTACAAACGTATGAAGTTCTAAAAACGTTCTTAGTACACGAAATGTTTACAATACGTTATCGAAGGAGATGTGAAATGAGACTTTTTAAAATGTTTTACGAATGTTTTTCGAACATGAATATATTTTGCCCACTGTAAAATGACGTTCTTCACACATCTCTACGTCAAAAAACGAATTTCCGATGTCAGGACGCACCATAATTGTAAAATTATAAGTGGCCCAACCTGCACGACATAAAATGACCCGACCGTAAGTTTCGTGTCGTTTTGCACATGCCCAAACAATTTTTAAAACACCTTTCTATTAAGATTTTACATTCTCATTGCCCATTCTTTACTTCGATACTTTTCGATACATTGGATCTTTCCACTCCATGTCTTTTTTAACAAAGGATAATTACAACAAATGAAATGGTGTTAAACATAAACTATTTATCGGATCGAGTTGATTTTTTATAATTATATTCAGAAAGTAAAGTAACAATTTGTTTAAATCTTTGTAAAGTACAACTCCTAAAAATTGTTATCCAAGTATATTTATTTAGTATCTCCAGGTTTAATACTTTGTTCTTCTTTTGCTAAAGATTTCTTCGACATTTTGTCGGCCTTTAAAATTAACTTATTTGTCTTTTGTTTTTTAGTAGTATTAGAAGACTTATTTTCATTCAAAACATTATTACTTTTAAAAAGCTATCCAGATTGAATGAAATTTTCAGGTTTCCAAAACTCCATGTCTTGAAGAATCATAAAGTTGCCGAACTTTAGTAAGATATCTTCATCGTCTACTTCAGTACCATCTTTTGCTAAAATAATTTTTTTCTTATCAATGTTGAGTCGTCATTGGCTTTTTTAAAATTGTTTTGTATAACATTATTCTCACTACTAAGCATTATACTTTTCTTTTTGTAACCGGCGTGCGTCCATACTTTTTAAATGTTTGGCATCTGTGAAACAAAATGTATTACACTGAATAACATTTTATCAATATTGTTTTCAACTTTGTGTCTAAAAAAAGACAAAGTTTATATAGAACTTACTCAATTATAAGTCACAATTATAAGGTGAATAAAGCGGCATGAAGACTGGTATGGATTTTATAATGACTTCAGGAAAGGGATCTGGACATAGTAAAGAAGAAAATCGAAAAAACATGACTTCTTTGGAAATAGACTTTGACATTCATCACTATTTATTTCAAAGTGCCAATTTCGAAGTTCTCAACAAGTTCGTACTTTTTACTTACAAAATACATGTTATTTCGTTCATCATTAATCAAAATATTTTCTACTCTACAAATTTCGTAGTTTCCATATTAATTTTTTCTAATGCAGATACAAGCATTATTTCCATTTAATTACGTGCAAATCTTACATTTTTGTAAAAATTTGTATGACAGCAGTCAATAATATAGTAAGTTAAGGATGTTAAATAAATTAATATGATCTAAATTTATATAAAAACTGTAGAAAGTTTAACTGTCATTCACCTGAAAAGCATTTTTCATATGAAACGTATTTATGAAAAATTATATTTGAATCTTTATTCAAATCGACTTTTCAAATTATTTGAAAATTCTATATAATCATATGGAACAATATATGACGAATGTTATCTACAATATATTGATGCCCAGAAATATTTAATTATAAATGTTTGAATAACTCACACACTATACAATAAAGTTAAATTGCAAACTCAATACTGCTTCTGGTACGTGTTGAATGGAAATTACATTTTGTAGATCTGCAAAGACTTCAGTCCGTATTAGGTAATTTAACTCTGGGGTTAAGCCGAAAAATAAAATTAATTACATACACAAAATTTAACTTGCAAGTTCTATTTCAAAACTTTTTTTTATTAATGATATATCTTACGCCAAGCAAATTTCGTGGTAGATATCCCTCTTTATGTCCCAGTTTGATCCACCACCATACGAAGGGTATGATGATAAAAGCATCATCGTCGCCTTTCCTGATTATAACCAGAAAATCACTATTCTTTAAGAAAAATTCACCATTATGTTCTGCCACATAATCAAATACTGTAAATACTTGTCCATTGTTAATGATGCCTAACTTTTCTTGGACACCTAAACAAGAAAATACATAGGTATTAATAATATTTATTAAAATTGTGTAAACATTTAAGAGATAGTACTTACTGTACAGATATTCAAAGCAGCCATCAAAACCTTCTTCATCTTCCTCGCATTTTTCTGCATCTGTTTCGTGATCCGATAATGTAGTAGCAAATATGCTTCTTTCTCAGAAGATGAACCATTAGCAAAATTTGATCATCTGTGTTTTTTATTTGAAGAGAAATAGTAAGGGTGAATATTTAAAATAGTGTTTTAAGCTTATTTACAGTTCCACAAATTTTATGTACTTTAGATTTCCAATAGGGACATTATCGTATCAGTAGACAATATAATTCGTTGCAGATGATAATTCTGGTAGCAAATCTTAAACCATTCTTCTTAATAAAACATGCAATAGCCATAAATGTCGTAATGAACAATCATTTAAATGATTTTTTATGCAAATGATCAAAAAAGTGTCAGTCAAGTCTTATAGCGCAAACTTTCCTGAGGCGTTTAAAAAAACTTTAATATCCGTTAAGATTTGACTTATCAGCAGAATTCTTTTAAAAATGTTATTATAAATGTATCTATTGTTTAGAGAGGTCGATCGGAAAAGGAATTAAAAAGTTTACGTCAAGAATGTGAAATTCAACGTCATCTTCACCATCCAAATATCGTTCAAATGTTGGATTCCTTTGAAACTGAGAACCAGGTAATAAATTACAAATTACTAATAATTTTTATGTGATAAGAATGTAAAGAACATCTTTTTTAAAATATTTTTGTAATAATTTTTATAATACTTTGACTATTATAAATGAAATTTTAATGATAAATCAAATTGATTAGGGTGTAGGTGGTTGATTTCATGCTGAGAAGCTTCCCTTTTTTGTACAAAGTTCAGGTGAATCCATAACATCTAGGTTACATTTTTGACAATACCAAACATTGGTATCTTTTTTCATCTTAAATACATTGATCACCACCATCCATTCATCTTCTAAAAAATATTGTTCGATTAGATCAAAATTTACTTTTTCGTCTAAGATGCCTGAACTTATTTTTTTTGTATATAAATATCAATTTTTTATACTTTTTTTCAAATGCGTTTTTCTCAAAACAGGATTTTTGAAATTGCCGTGCAGTGTAGCTCAAAAAGTTATTGAACAATTTTAAAATGAAAAATTGGAGATTGAATATATGTGAAACATGGTGGAAATGTTTTATTTCATTCAAAAAAATTCTTACCTTAAAAAATAATTCGCGAAAAACGGCTTAAAAACAGCGTTCTAATGTGGTTTCCCCCCTTAACACACTTTTGTCTCCTCGGAAGTCCTATTGGCGTCGTTGTTGTAGAGTGTTTCGGTCTCCCACGCATTTTATGCGACAGAAGCATCTTAACATTTTTTATAGAATATTCAATCAATTTTGTTTTATATGTTTGTCCCACATGCAAAATGTTGTAGTTTGCGTCAACAGAGAAAACATTAACAACGTCGCAACACATGTCCAATAAAATGTTTGTCGCTTTACCTTCCATGAATGAAAATTGCTGTTTCGAAAATGAAGCCTGTTTTTGTGGAATTGTCTTCTGTGACTGGCTTTCTGAAAATGACGCCTGATCTTCCGAAAAAAGAATGTGCTTTGTCTGAAAGAAAAAGAATTTCTGACTCAGAAAAATATCGTTCGATGTCGTTGAGTTATTATGTCAAACGAACAAGTGGTGAAGTAGTGCATGTCTGTCAAACGATTTTTCAGAAGCCCAAGGAAAAGTTAAAAACTTTTTTGGAAATTTAAATGCTACTGAGAGTCACTACAATCGAACGAAATCAAAACGAATTTATTATCTGATTTAAATGTAAAGAAACTGCACCCAGCGTATACTGAAACGAATCCAAACTTTCCGCTTTCATATGATGCGTTTAGAAAAGTCTTTAATAATGATTTTAATTTTGGATTTTTATCACCAGCAAGGGACTTTTCATAGCTTCTTACTTGCTGCTCAAGTGTTTGAACGTGTAGAACAAGAACATCGAAAACATGAAACCATAATGCATTTAGAAGACTATAAAAAAATCTACTCCACTTTTGGATCTGTCAATGTCAAGTGTTTGCGGCACGAAACATGAAAAGTTTTCGATATCAAGTCATTGACACAGATTTATAAACAAGTTGTTGGTATCCCAGGATTCAAGAGGATTTTAATGAAGAAGTATGCAACGAAATACAGTAAAATACGATGTAAAGTTACGTGTTTTGAAAATTACAAGTTTATTCGTGATCATGAGAATCCGAAAATGTTATTGAAATGGTAAAACTCAGACTCGGATGTTAAGTTAGATGTTTTACGTTTAGATCATCTAATCTCTGTTACAAAAGTTAAAGCTGTGCAAAATTTACTTGCAAAGCATTTTCATTACAATTCTTGATTACATCATCATCATCGTCATCATTAATATTTATTAAATTTAATTTATCTTATAATTAATCGTTTTCCAATAAACAAATGTTGTGTAAACAACAGCGGGCAAGAATGATTAGAGAGGCATATTCAACATTTTGTCAGTATAAGTCGTTAAAAAACGAGCCAACAATAATGGAGTCAACAAATGGACTATTGATATTTACTATTGATATTTACGTCGATAAAAACTTTTACACTTAAAGAACAGGATGACACAATGAATAGATCCTGAATGACAACATTTAATTCATTTTATTGATCAAGCTCATTATCAATTTGATGAATATAATCATTAGTCAGATCGTTAACCTCATCAGTAACATTGAGGTCATTCGCATGATCGTCTTGTTCGAAGTCAATGTCTTTGGAATTCAAATTCTTTCCATATTGAATATTGTCCTAATTGCATGGAAACATGCTGATTGCAAAAGAAGACTACAGTTTTGATTTGGACATTTTTCACTGCAAGTGTTTTCAGATAATATACTTCGAGGGAGTGCTTTGAAACCGCTTTGACATACATTTTTATGATTAATCCGAAGACAAGGATCCAGTTTCATCCAGTTTCTTGTAATCGCATAAACATTTTACAGTTCGGAAAGCGCTTGGTTCATTTGTCATAAGAAAAGTCCACATTTCTAATATAACAATCTATTTCACGCTCAATATTTAGCGATTTTACATTCTTTCCTTTCTCTTTTCTTCTTGAACTTTCAATATCAACAAAGTTCTTTAAAATTGATCAACGTTCAATGTAAACAGCATTTGCGGTCCCAGTTTTGATATATTCTAAAAAAAATTTGCTCGTTGAATTTGTTGACATTTCTATATGGTGAAAGTATTCTGGTGAATCTATAGCACCCATTGCTAAGATCTGGACTGTTGCATCGAAGAGACAAGTATTTGTAACTCTATATGATTGTTTGTTAATTATTATAGGCATTGTGAAATTGTTTCCATTTTGTAAAAGTTGAATCGAAGTCATTTTTTCTTTCGTATGAAGTTTTGAAGAAACTGCAACTTGTTGAACATTTGAAACTCCCTCTGAAAGCTCGAGGTGAACATTTTCCTTTATTTCCTTATTTAAGACATCTCCCTGATTTCTCCAATTTTCTGAGAACATAAGTTCCCTTGCCGGTGTTTCAAATCCTTCGGAGTTTTTCATTGCAACATCTAATAAAGTACTGTGTGTAGGAATTTGATGTTCATCTTCAAAAGTCGCATAGTTTATATCGTTTTCTGCATTACTTTCATTTATATCTGTTTTCTCAATAGTATTAGTCGTCGTTCGAAGAGATTGTTCCATTTCAGAAACAAAAGCTTTAGTAACAGCAGTTGTTGCATTCATTGTTTGGCCTTTTAATGCGTTAAAATGGGGTTTGAAGAATTTGTCAGCTCGAAGTCTTCAAAGTGTACCCTCAATTATGTTGTTTTTTAATTCCCCAAAATCTCCTTCTGCATAGCAACTTGTTGCCCTTACGCATTCCGTTTGAAAGTGAGTAGTCATGACACCAGACCATAAAACAAATTCTTTAGCTTTGTGAAGTTAGTGTTAAAAAAATGTGGAAGAAAGAGTCCATTTACTCTCGAGTGAACACTATTCTTACCTTTCTCGGCTTCAAATTTTAATCGATTTAACCATTGGAGTCGACATGTTTTTGTATTTAACATCACTTTAGTCAAAGATTAAGTTCTTCGCTAGATGCTCCTCATTTGCCTGGTAATCAAGCAAATCTAATCTTGCGTTTTCAGCCAGATAAGGCTGAATTGAATTTAGTACTTCTTCATCATGTCTGTGAGATGAAACAGTTAGAGTTAGAAGTAAATTTTTTTTTAATTTTTCCAAATTTGTGCACGATACCATTAAAGCAATGCATCGTAAAAAATTTCTTTATTGCTACGTTTTCTGCATTGAAACATTTAAGTCGAGAGAATAAATCAATAAAATGTGCTACATCTATTCTTATAAACGTTGTTGCAGGACGAACTTTAGTGGTAGTGTCAGTTAATGCTAAGAAGCATGTTCGGCAATACCTCTTCGGTTTTCTACAAAATGTATTATACATATAGCACGGGCGTGAAATTAAGCTACATAACCTTAAATAGTCACGTGTTCGTATCCTTAGGTCAGTTTTGTTGTTATAGGAAATCTTTTTGAATTGTTTTAGTACGGCGTATTTAAAAGAATGAAATAGATTATGGAGCCGCACTACTTTCCAAGCCAGGGGCCCACGTAGGTCTGAGCAGTCTGTGCTCTACCCACTGACCTTTCCAGCAGAGCGGCGACCGTTTAACCCAATCAAAATTCAAATGCCTACATGTTATTTATTGTACCCAAGGAAAGGACAAGGCTGTCAATGCGAACGGAAGCTTCACCGAAGTTACTACTTCTCCCGTAGCCCAAACAGAAACAATGTTCTCCCATTTATTCTTCTACTCTTTCTAACACTTTCTCAAGCGATGCTAGCAGCCAAGAGCAACCAAAACCAAACTCCCACTTTACATAAGCTACTACTTAGGAAGACTGCTTAAGACTCAAACGCAAGCACGCATCACAAAAGGAAACGTCAGCAAAGAGTAGGAACTCCGTTGACCTCGATGATCTGTAAAAACAATTCATACTATAAGCATGCTCCCATGAAAACTGCAGATATTAAAGGATCCCTAACAATTCCAAAACTAGTCAAATAAGTACAAATCGCTTTAACAAAAATACTATCAAAATCCAAATCAAACAAAGTATTGAAAAGCCCAGTCACAGCAGATATCACAGTACGAATAACTACTCTAACAACGTCAGCAGCCAGACTAGATTCTTGGTCATCAACAAGATCATCCTGATGATAACTATTTGGTAACGTATCACAGCGATATGTTGGACAGTACCAGAGTGACTTCCTACATGTTGGAATACACAAGGAATGATCTTTATGTCTTCTCTTTTCTCTATCCACTATCACATTGCAATCAGCACCAGGTCCGTCTCCTTCTCCAGACACCTTCTGAAAATTTTTTGAATTATTAATCGCGCAAAAAGTTAATTGTTCTACCCCCTTAAAAGGACCAAACAAAAACCTACGAAAATCTATATATTTATAATCAATTCCATAATCTGCATCCACAAAATCATCTCCATCAAACCACAGCGACAAATTGTTGTATTCAGGAGTCAACACCCAAAGCAATCCATTCCAGGATCACAAACCTCAATTGGTGTCCAATTCGGCGCCACTCCTGACTTGATCTGA